GGACTCTAAGCAGCTGCGAGTCCACGGGACACACTGGCTCCCCCAGGGTTCCCCTCGGGAGCAGCAACCCGGGCAGCCCTGGAGGCCGTTCTTAGGCTTATGTGTGGCTCCCCCTAAATTCCTGCGGTCAGAGCAGCCACAGGCCCACCCACTCCATTTACAGGGGAGGGACGCTCGTCCCCTTTCCTAAGGGAGGAGCTTTGTCGTCACATTTTAAAAACAGCTACAACTTGTTGAATATTGAATTCCCCAGGGAATTATGTCTGCCTCTATTCCCAGCACATCACAGTAGACGGGAAGGATGGAAGGGAGACCTCAGGTCATGTGGCCAGTGCCTGTGGAAGCTCTGCAGGCAGCAGGTGGGAGCAGCCGTGGGGCAGGAGCTGGGGACACGGCCTGGCAAGCCCCTCCTGCCTGTTGGTCCATTTCTAAGGAAGCAGGACACAGGGCAGCCGAGTTTGGTTAAAGGGAAGGGGACTTGAGGTACAGGCCTCCTCCCCGGGATCAGGACTCCTGGCGCCAGGGCCCTGGGCCTCCGAGGCCCGCAGGGGTCCCGGCCAGAGCAGGGAGGGGCCGGGAAAGAGCCACACACACGGCTTCACGCTGAGCCCACAGCTGACTCTGCAACAACCCAAGACTCCCCTGTGTTCTTGGACGAAGAACCTGCAAACGTTCAGGCACTAGAGTTTCTTCTGTCTGGACAACAAAGCCAGAGCCCTGGCGCCCAGCGGGAGCCCGGAAGCTCTTCCTTTTGGCTAGAGCTTCCAGCCTCAAGGAGGCATCCAGGGTGCTGCTTTACAGACGCCCAGTTACTCAGGAAGATGGAGCTCCCAGGCTCAGGCCCTTGTTTTATGACAAGGCCCAGGGAGGTAAAGAGATTTGCACACTGTCTCCTGGGAACAAGGCTGGTTCCAGCTGCAGCCCGGGCCCTCGTGCACAGCAAAGCAAAGAGGCCACTGCCCACCCTGGCTGAGCTCAGTGGGCCTCACCGGATGCCTCACGGGAGCCAGCAGCCCGCAGCAGGGCTCAGCCGGATAGCTGGCCACCCAGTGCCCACCGGAGACTGCTCAGGGGACATTCACAGGGAAATTCCTCTTAAGCACCTTTTGAGGGTGGCAGCTGTGCAGCCGCCACGCACCTCTTGCAGCCAGTGTCGGGCCTGTCTCCTGGTGCAGCAGGGCCTCTCGGCCTCCCAGACACAGCAAGCCCCCGCCCTCCAGGGCGCGCTGTGGACACACCGCCTCTGGCCCCTCGGCGGGTCGGCCGAGCAGCTCAGGTGCTCCTGGCTGACATCCGTGTGAGGTGCGGGGGTGACCAGGCTGGGCTGGGCTGCCTTTGAGCACAATTTCCTCCAAGACTTGGTGCCTCACACGCATTTCATTGTATTAATGCTCAAAAAGGGGCCGGGGCATCCTCTGCAAGGACTCAGTGTCTCAGGTTCTCGCTGGCCCTACCCGGGGCTCAGCTGTGGCCCCTTCCTGGCCTCGGGGGCCGCGCCCCACCGCCAACAAGCGCCCCAGGAGAGCCAGGAGGAGCCAGCAGCACCTACTCTGAATAACTGAAAAGTGTGCAGTTAACTTTTTCCAAAGATTTATTTATTTATACAAGAACTGGGGTACAGGCCAGATGTGCGGAGGATGAGATGATTCACCAGAGACAGAGTGGGGAGCAGAACAGGCAGACTGACTGAAACACACTGCCGAGGGGAGCGGAGGGGAGCAGCGGGGAGACAGGAGAGGTCTGCCACGCCATGTGGGTAGCTCCCTGGCCTGCAGGGATGGAACCAGCACTGCAGAGGCTGCGGACAGCTCCACAGCGCTGCGCTCAACCTGCTGCGCCACGGGGGAGGCCCTGTGCAGTTAACTTTTAAAGGCAAATTGGCAGATCACTTAAAACTACAGCCCAAGAAAATGAATTTAAAAATCAAAACTATCTCATGAACTTTAATTTCAAAAATACGTTAACAGTGTCATTTTAAAGTGAGCCACTGGGCAGGTGGGGCAGCACAGGTGGGGTCCACCTACCAGCTGCGCAGGCCTCCTGCTGGGGGCCATCAGGGCTGGGGGTTCCTCGTTCTCCATTGGGTTCAGATGGACTTTCAGGCTCTCAGGCCTCGGGCTCTGGCCACCTCCTCGGCCAGCACCTGACTGTCTCCAGGCACCCCAGCCGCCTACCCTGCCTCTGGGACCCCGACCCCCATCTTGCTATTTTGCTGAGTTGGCCTCCTTTGCTGGCCCAGGCCCTCTGCTGAGAGGCCATGAGTCCACGCACCTGCAGGGGTGTAGGCCAGGGGGGAGGGACTGGAGAGTAGGGTCTTGGCTCCCCTGTCCGCTGAGGCCGAGCCCCTGCCTCCTCACTCACACCAGCCAGGCATAGGAGGCCGGTCCAGGGCCAAAGGGGATAAACAGAACGTCTGCCAAACTGGACTGGTCAGTGTGTTCCAGACCCACGTGTGGGCCTGCAGGCCAGTCTGGGCCTCTGGGGCTGGCCCTCCCAGGCGACCGGCGCTGCAGAGACGCCTGCTGTGGGGCAGGCAGGCAGACAGGTGGGCAGGTGACGGGCCATGGTCCCTGACAGACAGACGATGGGCAGACAGATGACCGGCAGGTGGCCAGAGAGAGGACGACGACAAGATGGGGTGGCCAGACGGGGCGGGAGGCCGACAGCCCAGGATGGGCCTGCTGGGGGCTGGGGGCGCACAGAGGATAAGTCAGGGCAGCAGAAAACCCCCGGATGAGAGAAAGGTTGACAGGGCTTCTTGGTGCTATTTTTACTCTGGTGTGTGACTCCGCAGTTGCTCCCAGCGAGGCGTCAACACCCGCCTCTGTCCCAGCGCTTCCCACGGGAGTCGCCCGGCGGGCGCAGCGCGGGGTGGGGTGCTGGGGGGCGGGCGGGGCGGGGCTTCCTCTCTCCAGGGCCGGGCCGGGCCGCGAAGACAGCCCCGAACTGGGCTTCCAGCCGCTTTCTCGGGCGCCTCTGGGTTTTACGGAAGGGGACCCCGCGGTGCGCAGACCCGCCGGTCGCGCCTGGACCCTCCTCCCGAGTCGGGGCTCCCCCACCCGCGCGCCCCTTACCTGCGGCACCCGCGCTGCGAGGGGCGGGCGGGGGAGGCGCGGGGCGCGGGGCGCGGGGCGCGGGGCGCGGGGCGCGGGGCGCGGGCGCGGGGCGCGGGGCGCGGGGCGCGGGGCGCGGGGCGCGGGGGCACGTGGGCGCGCGAGGACCGGCCCGAGGCGGGGCGCGCGGGGCGCCGGAGGCGCGGGAGGGGCGGGGCGGGAGGGGGCGGGGGGCGGGGAGCCGGGGAGTCGGGCGGGCGGCGGCCGCGGGGCGCACTCGGCGCTCGGACTCGGAGCCGCGCGGGACCCGACCCGGCCCGGCCCGGCCCGGCCCGCCGCGGGATGAGGGCGCCCGCGCTGCTGCCGCGCGCGCTGCTGGCCTGCTGCGGCTGGCTGCTGGCCCCCGTGAGTGCCGCCGGGGCGGCGGGCGGGAGCGGGGCGCCGCGGGGAGGGCGCGGGCGGGCGCACCCCCGGGGCTCCTCCCCCGACGGACGGCCGGAGCGCGGCGGCTGGGCCCCTCCGCGGGCTGCGCGCTCGGGGTCGCGGCGCTGCTCGCCGCCAGCGGCCGGTGCTGCCGGGGCGCCCCTGGGCGAGAAAGTTTCCCTGGAAAGGCTGCGGTTTTCCCTGGTGGACGCGCCGCGGAAGCCTGGCGCGTCCGTGCGTTGCTCGGTGCCGAGAGGCTTTTTCTTTACTTGGCTCCTTTTCTCGCAAAGCCGTGACCCTCGTCCTCGCGCTCCAGCCTCTGCGGCCGCGTCCTGCGTGTCGCGCCCCAGCCGTGTCCGCGGGGTCCGGCCCCGCCCCGGCTCCTGGGGACGCCCTGACGCGCAGGACGCGGTCGGTTGGCACCAGGGGCGCTTCCCAAACTGCCTGCCGGGTCCTGGCGCGCCGCAGGGCTTCACCCCCGGGTGCCTGGGCCGAGCTGCGGGTGGGGATTATCTGAGCAGCAGGAGCCGGTTTGCGGGAAGCGCAGACCCGCTGTGGCGCGGGGCTGCTCCTCGGACCTGTCCCCAAACAGCGTTGCGTCGCGCGTGTTGCAAGACACCACCCGCTGCTGCCCTGTCTTGCTGCTTTAACCAAAGTCTTTTCCTTTAAGTCAATTTCATTTTCCTCATTCTGAAACTGACCCCCCGCGGGCAGGAGGGTGGGCAGCCGCCCCTGGGAGGCAGAGGAAGCCGGGGTCAGCCCTGCGTCCTCGCTGCGTCCTGCTCAGTTGTCTTCTGGGCCGACGCCTGAAGGTAGATGCCGTGAGGGGCCCGAGCGTGATTTCCTGTGGGAACAGTCAAACCTGTTCAGCCCAGGGAGGGCAAAGCCCCAGTCGCGGGGTTCTTGGGGAGGGGGGGAGACGGGAGGAAGAAGGCCAGACCTTCCTGGAAGTGGACGTCAGGGATATTGTCTAAGGATGGGACGTGTCGTTTTGTCTTTGGGGCACATTGATAGACAAGAGTGTTCACTGTTTGTGGGCCCCGATGCCCTGTGGTGCACCTTTTGGGGATGCCCCATCACATCACCTACCTCTTGTTCAGTGGAAACAGCTAAGGACCCCCCAGCTTTCCCCAGTTACCCCTTTCATCTTTGCGAAAAGCTCCTTCACACCAGATTCTAAAGTTGAGTTTCAGTGGTGACCTGCAGCCTTGAAAAATAGGCCGTGCTGTTTGCCCCAGTGTGCAGAGGCTGGGGGGGTGCAAAGACTGCTTGGGGGTGCAGAAGCTGCCCAGGAATGCAGAGGCTGCTGTGGAGAAGCCCTGGCGTCTGCCTGGGGTGCAGTCATCAGGAACCGGCTCTGAGGAGCAAGCACTCACTTAATTAAATCAGGGGCTATGAAATGGAGGCTCCAATATCAAAATATTATTGGATTAAGAGCTCTATTGTCGCCAAATTTGTACTAATAATATGCAATGTATTATGTTGGTAAATTTGTTTTCCTGCTCAGAAAAAAAAAAATATCCTATTAGGTTTTGTATTTGTTTTATAATTCCTTTACAAAGTAGATGACAATTTTTTAAAGGCCATCCTGGGGCATGAAGGTGACGGAAACACATGTTAGCTGAGATGCAGTTCAGAACACGAGGTTCCCAGGGGATGGTCAACCCTCTGCCTGACTTTCCTCCTGTGGTGGGATTTCTACTTATTTCTGTTTCTTTTACCCTTGGCCAGGTCAGCGGCATCCATCCGGAATGCCGATTTCACCTGGAAATACAGGCGGAGGAAGCAAAATGTGTGGAGCTTCTGGGGAACCAGGCAGGAGGACACAGAGGTAAGTGGGCGGTCAGGAGGCACCCCCACCCCCCACTGCTCACACCTCCCGGCCAGGGTCCTGGCTCTCCAGAACACCCTCCCCAGCCCAGTGCACAGCTGGAGAGCCCAGCAGCCATTGGTCTGGTCTCAGGGAGCCTGAGCGAGGGCAGATGTGAGGCAGCATTTGGCGCCGTGGCTCCTGGCTCCATCCTGCGGGGCCGAGTCTCCCAGCCCGAGCTCTGGTCGGCCGTGGCAGTGCAGTGACAGAGACACGGGCCGAGGTGTGCCCACGAGTGCAGCTGTGTGCACAGCTAAGAGGGGAAGGCAGTGGATACAATTTCATTAATTATTTCAATTGTTTTTAAATTAGAACATATTAATATACAGTAATAAAATCACTGTATTTCATTAAATTATCCTATTGGCTCCGTTTTTCCAGGGGTGAGTATGTCTTTGCTTTCTTCACTGTAAATGCGTAGATACGTCACAGATGATCTTGGCCCAGTCAGGAATCAAAGGTGGAAACGCATCAGAAACTGTGCGGGAAACCAGGGCTGCTGTGAGCAGGGGGCGTGGGCTGGCTCCGGCGGGAGGGTGGGGGGAGTCCACCGCTGCCCAAGGGGGTTCTGGACCGCAGCTGGCAGCGTGGTCTTTGTCTGCTTTCTTTTCTCTGCGTTGCTGTTGTGTCCTTGTCAAGAAAAAATGAAAATCAAAGAGGACACTGCTGGCGCAGCCCGCTGGCCTGCAGGCGGCCAGGGCAGGAGGGTGGCCCCGGGCACCGGCCACAAGCCCAGCAGCAGTCAAGTACGGGCCACACGGGCGGTTTTTAATCTTCTAGTTGCCACATTAAACTAAGTGAAAAGAAACATGAGGTTAATTTTAATCATCTATTTTATTGATCCAAATGACGTCCCAGCCATCATGGCAACTTGTGATCAATATAAAACGCCAGTGAGGAGACTGGCCTCTCCGCCCTGTCCTGGCAGTGCACAGCGCTTTGGCCCACTGAGGCCGCCTGCGCAGGGGCTCCGGCGGGGACGCCCTGGACGCTGCAGACCCCGCCCTGGTGGAGCCCTTTGCCCGGAGGTGAGCAGGGCGGGGGCTGAGTCCCTGCCTGAGCCCCGGTGCGAGGCTTCCCTGCCTCTCACACTCCCGCCTCTCCGAAGCCTCCACCGACACAAGGCCCGGCTCTGGTCCCCGCAGCCTCCACAGACACCTGCTTCCCGGGGTGCGGGGGCCCTGGCAGCCACAATGCCAACGTGGCTGGGGGCGCGCTCCGCCCAGGGAAAGGCAGAAGTGACTGCTCAGCCCACAGCAAACGGCAAGTGAGATCCTGCCCCTGCCATGCCACGCCTGATGCCTGCCACTGGACCACGGGCTGGGCGGTCAGGCCAAAGCAAGCAGCTGCCACGCCCGTGCCTGGCCCTCCGATGAGAGTCAGGAGGCTTGGGGGTGGCGAGTGCTGAGGAGACAAGGTCTGGCTGCTGGGCTCCTCCAGCGAGCGCCAGCGCCCGGCAACACCCTGGGCAGCCTCCAGGCATGGGGGCAGGAGCCTCGCACCCAGGGCACCCAGCTCCACTAGAGCTGGCCAGGGACTCCCACCTGCCCCCCTCCGCCATGGCTGGTGGTGAGCACGGACCCCGGGGTGGGGCCTGCAGGGTCCACCTGGCTGTGCTGCTCCCCCAGCACCCTGGGGTGGGGACTCGGGAAGCTGCAGGACAGCACAGCCTCGCCCGAGGCACAACGCCCTGACCCGTGGTGGGGGTTATGTGCAGATCCTGCCTTCCTGCTGGCCTGCTTGGTGGAGGGGCAGCGGTCAGCCCAAAGCCAGGCCTGACCCCGGTGCTGGCCCCAGAGGGGAGGCCGCCTGGGAGTGAGCATCTGGGGGCAGCAGGAGTAGCGCAGGTGGGGCCACGTCTCCCGGGAGGGGCAGGTGCCACGGTCTGGCTCCTCCTCTGGGAGTCCAGGAACACGGCTCCTCTCAGCTGCTCCAGTTTCTCAGACGTTCACAATTAGCAGCTAATGGAAGGTTCTCAGGGAGCCGGTCCCACCTTAGAACGCCCCTGTTGCAGGGCTGGGACACCCCAATCCTCAGCTCCTCGGGCATCTCCTTGGGGCAGATGTGCAGGACGGGGCCTGGCCAGTCACTGCGTTTCCGGGTCCCCGGACCACCTGGACCAGCAGCCACCTGCTGCTGGTGGCAGCAGAGGCCCCGCCGCTCCCTGCAGCCTCAGGGTCTGGTGTCCGGCTCCTTGCAGGGACGACCCTCAATCCTCGCCCACAGCAGAGCGGGTGTGTCCGGCCGGGCCAGCGGGCGGCTCTCGCCCCAAACACCTCTTCCTCTCACTGTGTGTGACGCTGGGGCGTGAAGAGTGACAAGTCGTGGGGTGAAGAGCTGCAGACGTGGCCGGCCTGACCAAGAGGCCCAGGCCCTGGGCACGCGGCTGCGGTGAGAGGCCTGCAGGAGGCGGGAGTAGGCCAGCGAGCGGCCGAGTCAGACCCGTCAACGTCAGGTGCTTTGTATAAATCCGACGAGGAATTCTTCTTGCAACGCGTGGAATCTAAACAAACACTGAGCACAAACAAAAGGCCAAGACATAAATCCAGACAGAAGCGACTCCAGTTCTGAGCGCCATCCAAGGGTCCATTTGGTGAGAAAGAAGAGCTCGGGGTGTTGGCGGCTTCTCAGCCTACTGCAGATCCATCTGGGGCGGACTGGATCTTCCGGTATGCGCAGGAGGCGCCGGGGCCAGTCCTGGAAACACCCCCACTGCGGCCGGCTCCTGGCCAGACGCTGGCCGACCTACTGGAGAGGGGCCCTGCCCCGCCTCTGCACAGGCTGGAGGGGACCCTTCCGGGACTTGCTGTCACTCGTGCCTGGACTGGTGGGAGCCACAGTGGGGAGGGGGGGAGCGGGGACAGCGGGGACAGCCACGGTGTGGCCGCAGCCCAGACCTAGCCCAGGGCCCTACTGGATGTGGACTGGTCCTCAGGAGCCAAGAGGGGGCGCCCCACTCGCCAGCTGGCAGGGCCCTTGCCCCCAACTGCTGGAGTGGGGGCAGCCGGGGGGTGTCCCAGCAAGGCCGAGAGCCGGACACCCACCCCAGGCACCCCAGAGCCTTGTGGTGAGTGAGGCGGGGCCGGGAGCCAGGCAGGGCCACAGCAGGACGTAGGGCTGGACCACCTCGTCTCTGTTATGTGGGAGGCGGGAAGAAGATGGTGGAGAAACCACCAGTAAAATGGGCTTTTCCCATGAGCCGGGCAACAAGGGCCTAGTGGCTGACCCTCTGCGGCAGCCTTGTCTCAGCTTCTGCTCTGCCTGGGCCAGCGCCACCCGCAAGCCCGCCCCATTGGCCCAGTTCCTCTGCGGGCCAGGCCCCATGGCCCTGAGGCTGGGAGCCCGGGGAAGTCATCTCAGTCACCCCAGAGAGGAGAGCTGGCACTGACCTGTGGGGGCCTCACCCTGGAGGCCCAGCGGCATCCACTCCTGCTCAGGCGCCTCCTGCAGGCCACGTGCATTCAGAAGGGGTGGCCCCCTTGGGTTGCCGCCTGGCAGGGATGGCCTGGTGAGTCTCACTGTCTCCGCTCCGGCCCATCTAGGACATGGGGTGGAACCTTGACTGTGAGTCCTTCTTGTCACTGCACACCCTGCTGGGCCCCCCGCGGCGTGGACAGGGCCCTCTGGGGGCTGCGCTGGCCTCCACGGCCTCCCTCAGCTTCCACCCAACACCACCTCGGGGCAGGGTGGGCCTGCGGCTTGGAGGAGGACAGCATTGGAGGTGGGAGCAGCCTCCGCAGGCCTGGACAGAACGTGTGAGAAGGTCCAGCCAGGCCCAGAGCATCTACGCAATTCTGAAAGTGGCACTGGGCGAGACTGGGGCAGACCCCGAGAGGCGCTGGCGTGGCCCCGGGAGCAGAGATGCCCCTGAGCAGGCGGCCGTCCCTGTGGGAGCTGCGAACACGTGGTGGGTCCCGGGGCTGGCCCAGGGGCCTGGTCTCTGCAGAGACAGGACGGGAGTCCCAGGGAGGGGACAGGGCCTGCGCAGAGAGGAGAGTGTGGACAAGTGTGGACAGGAGCCTGCGGCCGGGGCCACCGGGGCAGAGCCTGGGAGACGGCAGCAGGCGGGCTGGGCCAGGCCTGCTCGGCCTGGAAGGACAGAGGAGGGAGGAGGGTCCGGTGTGGACGGCTGTCCGCCAAGGGGCCCCGGGACAGGGGAGGTGCCGCTCTGGGGTGCACAGGGCTGTGAGGCGCCAGGACAGAGTGCTGGCACTGACCGTGCAGGCCTCTGCCCTAGACTGGGCGCCGCTCCACGCTCCCTACCACCCGCTGGGGGTGCCTCCTCAGGCCGGTTCCTGCACACGGTCAGCTTAACTGTGCTGTGTGTGAGCTTGTTGTGTCACACTCGCCGGGACGCTGGGAGGTGCGTGGTCTGGGAGGGTCCTGGGAAGCAACCCAAAGCCTGGTCATAAATCTGGGGAGATTACCCTGGGACGGCGGCGGCTCCGTCTGGGCCGGGCATGCTGTTCCCATCAGCTTCTGGCGGCGCCGAGCTCAGCACTGCCGGGAGCAGAGGCCCTGCCTGCCTAGCAGCCCTCATGGGGGCCACCGGAATTGTGGACGCCAGAGGAAGCAGGGGGTACCGCCCGGGCGCAGGTCTCAGGGTGCAGGGGGACCTGCCGTGCCTATAGCTGGACAGCCTATGGGTCCAGGACCGGCCGGACAGCCTGCTGAGCAAGCACGCGTGTAGCCCGCGGGGTCCCCTGCCATGACAACTCTGACTGCAGCCTCACAGGCCTCCTGAGCACTGGCCTGGCTTAGGGCGCTGCCTCGGCCACGCCGTGTCCAGCTGTGTCCACTGTCGGAGCTGAAGCTCTGGCTGTGGCTGTGGCCGTGGTGATGGCCAGTTCCCACCACGGGTCTGACCTGGTCACCCGCCGGTGTGGAGTCGCTTCTTTCAGGCATCCTGAGTGTCATCAAGCAGCTTTTGCTCAGGTTTCTCTGTTTTTGTTCCAAGTTTTAAAAGTCAGGATGGCTGTGAGCTCGGCAGCGGCTCCCAAGTCTGTGGACAGAACAGTTTTCCTCTTTCTTTTTTTTTTTTTTTTTTTTTTTAATAGAGGCATGTTTTATTTATTTATTTTATTTATTTGTTTGTTTGTTTTGTTTATACAAGCACTGGGTACAGTCAGAAGCGCGGGAGGGTGAGAGAATTCACCAGAGCCAGAGCGGGGAGCGGAGCAGGCAGAAGGACCGAAGGACACTGCTGAGGGGAGCAGCGGGCGGCAGGAGAGGTCTGCGCACCATGTGGGACCCTCCTCCGGTGGCCGGGGAGCAGCCGGGGATCGAACCGGCGCTGCAGAGGCCGCGGGCAGCTTCGCAACCCAGCGCTCAACCGCTGCGCCACCGGGGAGGCCCAGTTTTCCTCTTTCGCCAGTCTTGAGTCCAACATGACCGAGGCTGCCTCCTGCCTATCAGGAGAGACTCCGCGTTGCCCCCCTTGGCCAGTGTGCTGGGCAGCCCGGCCACTGCCGGCCACACGCCTCCCCTGGGTGCCGTACCCCAGGGCCTCGGTCCCGGCTGCTGGGGGGCTGCCGCTCACCCTCAGCCCTCCTAAATGCCTCATCCAAACTGGGGCTTGTTTGTTGACTGAAGATTAAACAAAAGACAAAATCTCGGGTCGCAGGCCACAAGGGGACCCTGGACTCAGGTGTGGGTGCCCCCAGCTTGTGCTATTGGAGGTCGCTGCCCTTTGCCACCCGGCACTGCCCGCGGGTCAGATGGGGTCTGTGCGACTCCCCTCACGGGGCGGCCTCTAAACCACACGGGGGCTGAAGACCCCCAAGCAGGGCTGGTGAGCGAAGCCAGGAGCGGCGTCACTGATGTCCACCCCACTGCGTGCTCAGCTTGCTCTTCTCAGTGGCTGATCCGCAGATGACCCTTGCGGCAGGTTCCCTACAAGCCCAGGCCCTCCGACTAGGGGACCCCAGTTTCCCAGCCACTCTGACTCCGGGGGCTGGCGGCTCGGGGTCCCGACAGGGCGGCGCCAGGAGAAGCCGGGAGGAGAGGGCAGCGGGAAGGGAGCTCTGGGCCTTCCCAGCCGCTCCTTCCCCAGAGGGTCAGCGCCCGCGGCCTCTCACCAGCCCTCGTCTCACGAAATAACCCGAGCGTCGCCCCGACCCTCGTGGTTCCGAGTTTGCTCACAGGCCTCTCCCTTCCAGCCTGCAGCGGCGTCTGGGACAACATCACGTGCTGGCGGCCGGCGGACCTGGGCGAGATGGTCACCGTGCCCTGCCCGCAGGTGTTCAGCTCCTTCTACAGCCGCGCAGGTGCGTGCGGCCCCCGTGTGGGTGCGCCCCGGGGCTGAGCCGGCCTGGGCTCCCTGCCGGCGCCCACGGAGAGGACAGGCCCGGCGCACGGGCGGGCTGGACAGCCGGGCGGGAGTGACCGCCGGACATGGAGCTCTGCCCTGCAGCGAGGACGGGCGGGGCGGACCCGGCCTCCCCAGCTCGGGCCTTCCAGCGCGCGCTTTCCTGGCAGGGAACATCAGCAGGAACTGCACGAGCGAGGGGTGGTCGGAGACATTCCCCGACTTCGTGGACGCCTGCGGCTACCACGACCCTGACGCTGAGGGCAAGGTGAGGCCCGGCCGCGCGGGGTCCCGGGAGGGGGCGCCCCAGTCCTGCCGCCCGCGGTCTGGTTGGTGACCCCGCGCTGCTGCGTCCGAGGTCCTTGCTGGCCTGGAGGCCTTTGTCCTGTTGAAGGTCCCGCCCGTGGAGAAGCCCTTTGCGAGCGCAGGGCCTCGGGCGGCAGGGCCGAGACCGTCGCGGGGCTGCCGGGCTGCTTCCCGTGAGTTGGGGGTGCAGGGCTGTGCTCGGGTCAGCTCCGGCTCGCCCCGCCGTGGGGTCAGCGCGTGGGCCCGCGTCCCCTGCAGCGCAGACACCCCAGAGCCCATGTGAGGGGCTGAGCCAGCCCAACCCGCGCGCACACACACCCCCACAAACAGCAGGGTCTGCTCCCCGCAGCAGCTTCTTTACCGGTCTGCTGTGGCCTGCCCCTCCTCACCCCACCCTGGCGCTCGGGTGCCTGTGCCCCCCTCAGGGTGCGCTGTCAGGTGAACCCCTCTCCTGCCCGCCTTTTGCACAAGGGGCTCTTGTTTCTCAGCAGCACGCCCAGTCTAAAGGCAGCCTTCCCCCACCTCCCCACCCCCGGAGAGAGAAGCGCCTGGATTTAACCCTCACCACCCCCGCGTCCCGGCCCCGCAGTGAAGGGCCCCCCCCACCCCAGTCACTGCGGGACCCCGAGACCCCGCCCTCCGCAGCAGGAGGGGGCGGGGCGAGGCCATCCTGACCCCTCACCCGCGCTGCCCTGGCCCCTGCACCGGCCGCTGCGTGAGTGTCCGGGTCGCAGAGGGCGCCCGACACCTCCACGCTCACCCCACTGCCTGCCGAGGCGCAGTGACCCGACGAGGCAGGGGCTCTGGGTGGGGCCTCGGGATGCGGAGACCCAGGCCAGGTGCCCCCCACGGGAAAGGGCAGCTCCTCTGGCAGCCCGGGAGGGGGAGGCCAGCCCGGCACTGTGCTCGGCTGTGCCTGCTGCGCTAATCACTGGAATTAGCTTTTCTGTGTCGAGAAGGTGACATCCCCCCCTGCCCTGTGCTTAGGGGCGGCGTTGGGACCCAGTGGTGACAGCGTGTGGGAGTTTGTGCTGGGCCCCTAACCCCAAACACCTCAAAACAGGGGCGGGCCTGACACCCTCCACGTCCTCTCACTGCCTCTGGCGCGGGGGCAGCTCCGAGGGGCGACTGAGCCCCCAGCCCTGGCTGTGCCCGTGAAGCCGCGAGCGCTGGGCCCTGCAGCCTCATCCACCTTCCCCAGCCCGCAGTCAGGGTCACAGCAGACAGGCTGTGGCGGGGACGTGGCCTGTGGGGTGGTGCCTGCAGCATGGCCGGATCCCCGGACAGGCCTGTGACTGGCATCTAGTGTCTGTTTTGGGTCCCGCCTGGAAACTGGGAACGAAGCCCCTGGTCTCCAGTGCTGACAGCCCAGTGCAGCCCCCAGCAGCTGCCTACACAGCCCGGGGCGCACGTCTCTGGGAAGACACCCGGTCCCCAAACCCCCTGTGGGGAATTCTGTATCTGAAGCAGGACGCCACAGGGGCTGTGCTGCCAGGGCCTTGGGCTCTCACTGGACAGGCAGGGCAGGCCTGCTTTCTGGAGGCACACAGACAGACCTGCTGGACGTGGGGCCTGCTTTAGAGGGGTGGGTCCATGCCCCCAGGGGCACCCTGTGCAGGACCCTTCCCTCCGGGCACCCCCAGGCCTCACAGCTCTGGTGCCGCCCATCCTGTGCTCCTCATGATGACACTGAGCTCGGTGGGAGCCCACGTTCTCTGTGCTGGGCCCTGCAGAGCCCGCGGGGCGAGGGGGCATGGGTGGAGTGCCAGGCCAGCCCTGGGCCTGAGAAGCTCACTCGGGGTGCAGGCACAGGGCCTCATGCCAGGAAAGCTGGCACTCTCTCCTTGACTTAGCACATCAGAGGCTGCACACCCTGAACGCACGTTCTCTGCGGTGGATCGGAAAGTCAAAATACTTTAATGCACAAAAGTAAAGAAAATCACAGCAGGGGACCAGAAGGACGTCTCCCTCGGGAGCCCATTTCCGCCAATGGACACCTTGAGTAGCTGGCTGTCAGGGAGGGACTCAGCTGAGCCTGGCGCTGCGTGGGGGCAGGCCATGGCCCCAGCTGGACAGGGCTGACCACTGGGAGGCCAGCTACTGCCCTCGGGCACCTGGGCCCGCAGCAGCTCCCCTCCCTGTTCCGAGTTCTCAGTTGGGATTTCTGCTCCTGGTGGCCACTTTGCTCTGGTGTCTGCGTGCAGTTTCGCTTGTTTCCAAATGAATTAAACTGGAGGAAAGAATCAGCCCCTGCAGAATCAGCCAGAGACGCGGCTGCTTGGGGGATGTGGGGGGGTCGAGGTAGACTGTAGTCAGGCTGCGGTCCCCTGGGGACCAGGGTCTGAAGGCCCCAGCCCCACTGCGTGAGGGCCCCCAGCCTGCAAGGGCTGAGGGCTGAGCTCCCTGCTTGGTTTCCATCCCGGGCCAGTGTCCACACCTCCCTGGCAAAACCTGGAAGCGCCTAGAAATTTAGCCCCTAGGGTGGGTTTCTGTGGGCTGTGGGCCGTCTCCTTCCCGAGGGGCAGCGGAAGAGCCGGGCAGCGGGAAGCGCAGGCTATACCCCCACAGCTGGGGCTCCTCGACCCAGCCCCTCGCCGGGCAGAGTCGGCTCTGGGCAGCTGCCGAATGTTTTGTTTGCTGCGCGCCTCTTAATGAGGAGCCTTCGGCTAAATTTAGCCCAGAGCACCGCTGGCATTTCAGCCTTCCCATGCGTCAAACGGACACATTTCTTCCATATTATGCCATATTCCTAAAATATGTCCTCGCTGCCTGCCAGCCCCGCCAGCCAGCACCTGTCCCGCCCTGGTCGAGCCACAGCCACTGGCCCCTGTGGCCGGGCACGGATGTGGGGGCCCCACAGGGCATGGCCCGGGAGCGGGACCCCAGCACGGTGAGCACACGGGACCCCAGGGCAGACCCCAGGCCACTCCTGAGCCCCTCAGCTTGGGCCCCCACGGCTCTTGCTTCGCTGCAGGTCGAATGGCCAATGGCGGTGGGAGCTGTTCCTGGGCTCCTGGTGCACCCCACGGTAGAACGTGCATTGGCGGGCACCAAGGGGCCAGCCGGGCAGCAGGGCTGGCGCCAGGGACAGTGTCCCCAGAGCCTGGGCGCGTCCCGCAACCAGGGCCCTGCCCACCATGCCATCCAGCACAGCACCCCTGCCCGGGAGCGGGAGGCGGGCACCTGGTGGACACAGCTGGTCAGGTCCAAGTGTGCATCTGACGGGAGCACGACTCAACCGAAGGCGCCCAACAGAGGGTCACTGTCCTCGATCTACCTCCGCCCAGCTCTGCCCGCCACCGGCCGAGTCCTTCCAGGGCCAGGGGGAGGGGCAGAGGCTGGGAGGAAATTGCACAGATCCCCAGAGAGCACAGTCAGCCAGAAGAGCCCCCAAAGAAGGGAGACGAGGTCCAGGAATTGGGTCAGTGCAGTCCAGAAAGCACCAAGAGCACCAGGCTCCCCTAGCTGGGACAGGCCCTGGCACTGGGGGGCCGGCCACGGAGCCACAGCACCCACTTTCCCAGGGGACACAGGCCTCCCGGTCATGACCCTGGAGGGATCATGCAGGATGGCCAGCCAGGCCAGCAGGGGTGCCAGAAGGTGGCCTGGAAGAGGCCTGAAGCATCCACAGGTGGTGAGACCACACCCAGCAACGCCCGACCAGATCTCTGAAGGTACTTTTCACGCTAAATGCCCTTGCGGGCCCACCTGCAGGCCTCTGGCGTGGCCCTGAGCATCAGGGATGCTGAGTCTCTGCAAGGCTGGGGCTGCACTGGCCTGGCTGTCCCCGGGGGGGCTGCCAGCAGGGGCAACCATGGCTCTCAAAGCTGATGCTCGGTAACAGTCCAGGAGCCAGGATCCCCCAAGTCAGAAAGTCCTCTCACTGGAGTCACCAGTCGGGCCTGCACACGCGGGTGCAGGCTGGAGGGCGGCAGGCCCAGTGCCCGTACCCAGGGATGTGGGCTGCCCAGCGGGGTCCTGCCCGGCCCTCATGTCTGGCTGCCGCTGAGTCTAGGCGGCGGGAAAGCGGGTGGGGACTGGGGCCACGAACTGAGGATGAAGGGTCCAAGCGTGCAGGGGTCAAGGTGCTCAGACTCTGGGTAGAGACTTCTAGAAGCTTGAGTCCAATGTATAAATTCTTTTTTGACACCATCATAAATGGAGTTATTTTCTGATACATCTTGTTTGTCGTTTGTGTATAAAACGACTGAATTTTTGTATATTGATTGTGCAGCCTGACTCTGCGGTATTCATCTATTGTTTCTAATGGCTTTTGGTGGAAACGTCAGGGTTTTCTACATATGACATCAACTTGGGCACCAACAGTGACTGTTCCACTTCTTCATCCCCCTTGGCTTCCCTTTATTTGCTGTGTTTGTGTGATTGCTCTGGCCAAAACGTCTAGCGTGAGGTAACCGGAGGCGAGGGGCATCCTGGTCCTGTGCTTGACCCTGGGGGACGTCTCAGTGTTCCCGTGGGCTCTCAGACTGGCAGTTGGTCTGTGCGTGCGGAATATTCAGTATTGAAGTGGGTTCCTCTGTTCCCATCCCTTTTAGAATTTTTATCATAAATGGGTATTGAATCTTATCAAGTGCTTTCTCTGCATCAGTTGATATTGTCATATGAATGTTATATTATCTTTTGTTGATATGATGCATTACACTGATGGCTCACATGTATTACACCATCCTTGCATTCCTGGGACGAGCCCACTTGATCATGGTGTGTAACCCCTGGCATATGTTGGATTCGATTTGCCAGTGTTGTGTTGAAGATTTTTGCATCAGCATTAGCCAGAGACGATCGTCTGTAATTCTATCATCTTGGCAGTCTCTATCTGGTTGCAGTATTAGGATAATGCATCCTAAAGTATATTGGGGCGTGTTCCCTCTTTAAGAACACTCTGAGGAAGATGGGCATTCGTTCCTTAAAGGTTCAGTAAAAGTCGTTTGTAAAGCTCTCTGGCCCTGAGCTTTTGTTTTGGGGAAGTTTTGTTTGTTTGTTTGTTTTTTATTGCTGTCTCAATTTCCGTGCTTGTAACCAGTCTTTTCAACTCACCCACTTCTTCATGGGTTAGTCTCGGTAAGCTAGATTGATCTAGAAATGTGTCCATTTCTTCAAGGTTATCAAAGGTATTGGCCAGTAGTTGTTCATGGCAACCTGTGGGCCTCTGTGAACTGCCAGGAGTCCCTGCCGTCGGGTGTGAGTTCCAATGAAACACTGAAGAGTAAAGTGATTGTTAAGCATGAAACTGATAAACAGAAGCACAGAGGGTTTTTGTTTTGATCTTCATTTTTTACGGTAAATTAACGACAAGTTGTATTTAAATAGCTTTCTTGGGAAAATAACACTCCCTGGGTAAGAACACATGGATTATTTTCCGCTTTATATTGTAGGGTTTAGACCATTTCCTCAAGAAAAATGCAAACCAAGCAAGAGCCCGTAGGCACCTAGAGTGGTCAGGCCGGTCTCACAGGCGCCAGGGCCCTGGGGGTGCTTCTGAGGCTCCGCCAGAGCTCAGTCATGAGCAGATGAGTTCATGGGCATTGAAGGATCGGACCACGGAGACCCCCAACCCCAAAACACAAGCGGTGGGGCCTGCCCTGCCTGGTGGGTGGTGTCCTCTCCGAGGCCTGGTCTACCTGCGGCCACGGCTCTCAGGCAGCAAGCTCAAGCTCCAGGACACACAGAGCGGCTCTGCCCTCCCTCCACTGGCCCTTCTCACTGCCCTGTGCTCACTCTCCTGCCCAGGCGGCCCCGTGGCCCCCATGTAGTTGCTTTGCCGAGCAGCAGGTCCCCAGCAGTGGGTTCCCGGGAGAAGCTGGTGCTGAGGAGCAGACGTGACACCTGGGTCTGCCAGGGGCTTGCACTCCAGGCCTGGGCAGAGTCCCCGGGGCAGGGGGCGGCACCCCACCACTGGAGCCCACAGCACGCGTCCTCCCTCCAGGTGACCTTCTACGTTCTGGTGAAGGCCGTGTACACCCTGGGCTACAGCGTCTCCCTCGTTTCGCTCACAGCTGGGAGCATAATTCTGTGCCTCTTCAGGTAAGAGGGGGACACGCAATTCTGCAAAGGGTGGCTCGGGGGTGTCCGGCCATGCAGGCCGCACGCCTGGCCTGCCCCGGGCCCCTCCGCAGGTGAAGCCAGCATGGTGCGGGGTTGCGGACTTCCTGCACTGCTCTGCAGCTCTCTCTCAGGGCTCCACGGCCTCAGGGAGCTCAGGACCTGCCCTGCAGGCACTGGCATTCCCCCAGAATGTCAGTGCTGGGCAGGGAAGGCCCTGCAGATTCCAGTTCTTTGAAAAAATGCTGGTGCGGTATTAGTATTCGTCCCGCTATAAATGTTCAGTCTTCATATTGTTAAAGGTTAAAAAGAAAAAGATCAGAGGGTGGAGCGGGCAGAGCCCCGTGTTTAAAGACCCCCTTGTCGTGAGCCCACCACCCCAGCCTCCCCCCTACCCCGTCAGCCAGCGTCCCGGACGGGGCCTGGGCGTGTCCTTTGAGGGCCCTCGGGGGTGAGTGTCAGACACCCCTCTCCGCACCGTGGGTCCCGCGGGCGCTGCGAGACAGGCATGTCTGCGGCTGGTTCAGCAGACAACGGGCAGACATGCGGGTTGGTGCCGCCTCGGAGGCCGGTGCCCGCACGGTCATCAGGCAGTCGGCCAGCTGGAGCCAGGGCTTGCTCTATGCAGAGAAACGGCAGAATGTTCCTGAGCCCAGGGCCCAGGGTGGTGCAGACCCGGGCAGCGGTCCAGGGGCCCCGCACCCCTGAGCCCTCCCAGGGCCCGGCAAAGCCCAGCCACGAACCCAGAGCCTTCCTGTGTTTAAGGTGCATTTGCTTATAGTCCCAGACTTCCCTCTCAGGCCTTGGTTCTGTTTCTCGAGCTGCACGTTCCTGTTAGTTCTGCTCCTTCCAGCCCCTGCTGTGCTCCTGCTGGCTCTGGCCATGGGGGCAGCACCATGACGCATCGCAGCTGCTGCTCAGCTCGCTTTGTCGTGCTTTCTCTGTGCTTTCTCTGTTCTCAGGGCACGTGGACGGCCCAGCCCCTGAAGCCTCAAACTCCCACAGCGTGGGGTTTTGGTAGAAGTTTCCTTTTTATTTGAAAACAACGTGAATCCTGCCGTGGGGGTCTGTGCGCCGCACTGGTGCTTCTGTGGGTTTGTCGACCGCGTCATTTCTGTGTTCCAGACCTTCCTACATGCCTGATGGCCGCGCGCTGCCCGGGTCACCAGGAGCCAGGAGCTCAGTCTGGCTCCTCAGCTGTAACTGTGGGCTCGGGGCTTCTTGTTTCTTTGCTGTTTTCAGGTCGTGCTCTTGGGGGCAGCGTTTGACCTTCCTACCAGCTGGCCACATCTAGCGATGGCCCTGCCTTAAAATCGACTTTCTGCTCCCAGCCGTGCCAGCTGCTCTCCTGCTGGACCCTGCAGGGTCTGCTGTTCTGCGCTCATGGCACCTCCTGTCACAGCCGCAGTTCAGACGCAGCGTTTCTGTGCTGGCGGCGGCCACTCGTGGGCGGCTTTGGGTCTCCTCTGCCTCTGCCGCTTCCTTTCTGTTGTCTCTTTCTTCTTGGGCTTTCGCCTCCTGTTTCTTTTTAGTTGATCAAGTATTCTTATTATTCCAGCCTCCTGCCTTTGCGTTGTTAATTATACATTCTGCTCTGGAGAGAGTCACAGCACCCCCACGGAGTTAACCCCGACTGCCATCTCCACAGTAGATGGTGTTTGGCTCCATCTACCCTCTGGCCTCCGTGGCACCGTGTGCCGCCCACACCCCACGCTGTCGCTGCTGCTGTCCCGTGGGGGGGTCTTCAGGGCTCCCCGCACGGGGTCTTCTCTGGAGCTCCCTGTTCCCTCCCCGTTTCAAGCCCCACAGGCCCGTCTCCCGCCCCCGCCCCCACCTGCTGCTCTGGCTCTGTCCCTTTCCGCGCTGGCTGAGCATCCTCCTGGCCCCGACGTCATCTTAATTGTGCATTCACTGTCCGGGGATTGAAGTCTTTGTTGGAGTCACTTTCTTTCACCGAGTGGAAGATGCGTGTCATTATTTCTTTTGAAAAGCCGCTGCGGCCTTGCTGTTGCGGGGGGGCGGGACGGGGGACTGGTGCTGTGCAGAGCGGCAGCCTTGTCACCGGTTTCCAGGAGCTGTCGTCACGGGGCTTTGGCGAGCGGCTTTCTTTCTGCTTCCACCCGCTGAGGTTAATAGAGTTTCTTTTATCTGTTCATGTTTTTTTACCAGCTTGAAAACTTCTTGGCCAGTGTCTGTTCAGATCCGCGTCCACTGCTCACTCTCCCGTCCTTCTGAAACCCCGTTTTCATGGGCGTTCAATGTCCCTGCCACTTCGCGTATATTTTTCGGTGTCTGTCTGTCTGTCCCATTGTTTTCCTCCTCTCTGCCTTCACCCGCACGTTTCGCTTCTACTTTCCACTTCACAAGACCCTCACTAGCTGGGTCTAGCCTGGTGTCAGACCTGGCACTTAATCCTTGATTTCAGGGTTCGTTTTAAGTTTTAAAATTTCCATTTGCTTTTTTGTAATCTATCCCCCCTCTGCCCAAAGCCTGCATCTCCCCTCCACAGGGCTGGGCGGGCCTGCCTCGGGGTCTGCGTCTCCCTGCCCTCTGGCCTCTTTTTCTCTTCAGCCTGAATGTGACTGTTTGCTTTTGTCTTTGGCGTGCCGGGTGATTTTACTGACTTGACCGTCGACTCAATCGCAGAGGCTTTGGCTGACACCTGATGGGGGGCCTCAGGGATTCTGAAGGGCACCCCAAGCAGTGGGTGGAGCTGGCACAGGCTTCGTGGGCCACACGCCCGGCTCGTGGCTCTGGGGGAGGTCCAGAGAAAGCCTTGGAGGCCCTCGATTCTGTACCTTCTAAGATTTGCTTCTTGGCCGCTGCCAGCTGCCCCTTTCCAAACCTCTTGTCTGGCACGTGGCCACCCGAACGCAAGCCCATGCAAGCGCTGCAGGCGCTGCCTGCTCGGCCTCTGCCCCGGGTCCTCGCTCCCTGCTGCTTGGACCTGCTGCTGCGGACACCGCACTGGCCCTTTGTATCGGGCAGCACATGACCACTCACCTCTGCTGCAGGCAGCACTGCGCCTGCGATGGCCTCAGCAAGCAGCCTAGACAGCAGGGCCGCGGGGAGCCCGGTCCCAGGGGTCAGTCCGCAGGTCTGGCTGCTTCACATCACAGCTGGGCCTGTGGGGTCCTGGCACAGGCGGCCCCGGCAGGGTTGCTGGCTCTGCACTGCCTCAGGCTCTACAGAGCCCTGAATGCCGCGTGACCTCTGAGGCTTCTTCGTGGCTGACCCTGGACTCCAAACAGTTGACGGTGAGGGTAACATGGCTAGTGAAGCCGCTCCAGGGCAGCATCTACGGGCCGAGGGCTGGATGCGGGCAGCCCAGAGGCACTGCCCTGTGGGTCTCCCTCTGGGGCTCTGCTTCTGCCTCTACCCTGAACCCCAAGGAGAGGGAGAGAAATCGGGGAAAGGCCAACGTGCAGAGAGTGTGGGACGGCTAAGCTGAGACCGTCCTCAGCACACAGCCAGGGCTCAAGGTTGGCGTGGGAAGAGAGGGACCAGACGTGGAGCCGTGGTGGTCAGGTGGCCACCAGGCCGGCCTCGCTGACCACCCCCCACCCCTAGGAAGCTGCACTGCACCCGGAACTACATCCACCTGAACCTGTTCCTGTCCTTTGTGCTGAGAGCCATCTCCGTGCTGGTCAAGGATGACGTGCTGTACTCAGGCTCCGCCACGCTGCACTGCCCCGACCGGCTGTCCTCCTGGGTAAGGCTGCCCGGGTGCCCCTCGCCAGTGCCCCAGCGGCCCTCACTGCCCGCCTGGCTCTCTCCCGACGCCTCCTTATGCCGGGCCGGCGGGGTTGGGGGCAGTCAGGGCAGTGTGTCTGGCCTGAGAAACAGGACCAGGCAGAGGCAGGGCCAGACATGGTCCCACCCCCTCTGCAGTTCTGAGAACACCCTCTTGGGCATGGGGCCTCAGGTGGCCTCCCTCCCGCCGCACCAGCCCTGCCCATCGCCTGCCCAGCACGGCTCTCAGGGGCTGCTGCTCCCACCGGATTGTCTGGGCCCACCACGCGCGGAGCTGCCCCCGGTCATGGCCGCTGGCCTGGCAGCCCCTTCTGGCGTTGCAGGTGGGGTGCAAGCTGGCCCTGGTGCTCTTCCAGTACTGCGTCATGGCCAACTTCTACTGGCTGCTGGTGGAGGGGCTGTACCTGCACTCCCTGCTGGTGGCCGCCTTCTCGCCCCGCCGGCGCTTCCTGGCCTACCTCCTCCTCGGGTGGGGTAAGGAGCCCTCGCGCCCCATGGGTGCTGCCCACGCCTGCCTGGTAGATGCCGCACAGGTCCCCTGAGACTGTCCCCAGGGGCTGCTCTCGCCGCCCCCAGCCCTCGTGCAGGGCAGGGACGTGGGGCAGGGCCAGTGGAAGGCTCGGGAGCCCCTCCCAAGGTGGCTTCCGGTGCTGGCGGGTGGGAAGGGGGCAGCCCACGCCCCTGTCCATGGCCCCATCCTCTCCACATCTGACCCTTGACACCGCAGCCCCGAGAGCTCAGTGGCCATTGCAGCCACTTCCCGCACAGCCCCGGCGACCTGCGCCCCCATCAGGCCTGGTGGCATGCAGGAGGGGTCCCGGTGGGGCGGCCCCATGGCAGGGCGGAGCTGCAGGGCTGCGGCGACTGGCGTCCCTCCTCAGGCGTCCCCGGCGTCTGCACAGGAGCGTGGGCGGCGGCCAGACTGTCCTTGGACGACACGGGGTGAGTGTGCGGTGTGGGCCAGCCCCAGGCACCACGAGAACGGCCACTTCCCGCCCGGGTCTGCCGCAGCTACAGGGAGCCCGGCCACCCCTGGACACTCCCGGAGGCTCTGGGCCGGGCGACTGGGGAGGATCCTGAGAGGTGGGAAGCAGCCCAGGTCGGCGCGAGCTGCCGGGAGTGGTGGCCACACAGGGCACCAAGCAAGAGGCGGCACCGGCTGCTGGGGCCACTGTGGATGGGACCCCCTGGGCCCGGCTGGCCTGCCAGCTGGCGAGTAACCAACACAAACATCCCCGTGGAGGGAGCCGGTGCTGAGGCGCCTCCATCCCCGCCGACTGCATGGAGGAGGAGGGAGCGGATCAAAGCCACGCCTGCGGGGCGGCTGCAGCCAGTCCCTCTGCACTGGGTCCCACACCTTCCACTGGACATGATCAGGGTGACGTGGTCCTTGTCTCTCTCCCATAGCTGCTGGGACACCAGCGACCACGACCTTCCCTGGTGGGTTATTCGGACCCCGATTCTGATTTCTATCTTTGTAAGTGAGGGCTGTGTTGGGGCGGCTGAGTGGGCGGGGTGGCCAGTACAGGGAGGTTGGGCTGCTGGGCTGAGTCAAGAGCCTACGGGGCAGAGCTCCTGCTCAGTGGCCTGGCGAGCAGCCTCGGGAGGGCAGGAGCTCGGTGGTGGGCACCGCAGCCAGGAGGGCGCCTCTGGGTAAGGGGTACAGCGAAAAGCTCTCTATGCCCACTGTGCACTCAGAATGGCCTCGCCCACGAGTGTCGGGCAGGGGCTGAGACGCAGGACACTGCCCGGCTTCGGTGGTGGGTGCAGCCTCGCCCTGGGGGCCGACCCAGTGGGGCTGAGCTAGCGGCTGGCCATACCCACCTCCCTTGAAGCGGAGCCAGGCCCGAGCAGTCTCTCTCCCCGCAGGTCAATTTTGTCCTTTTCGTTAGTATTGTATGGATTTTACTGCAGAAGTTGAGGTCCCCAGATGTTGGGGGCAACGACCAATCACAATACAAGTGAGTATCAGCTCAGACCTGGTGCTGGTGTACCACGGCCTGCGGAGCCTGACCCCCGGGGGACCCCCACCCGCTTGTGCGGCCTAGATCCCCTGGGGAACCCCCAGCCTGCAGGGCTGGACCTCCAGGGGAACCCTGCCTGCCTGCAGGGCCTAGGCTGGCAAAGGAGGCCCCCAAATGGCGTGGGGTGTGTGTTCTCTGCTGGGGGTGGCAGGAGAAAGCAGTTCAGAGCAGCCCAGGCTCTGCGAGTGGGTGTGAGGCCCCTGCCTGGACTCCCAAGGGGCCTCCCCAGGCGCGGGAGCTGGGCGGGTACGGGGGGTGGGGGCACTCGCAGGGCCAGGGGCGGGGCGGTCGTCGGGGCCTGGCCTGCGGCATCCCGGCCCACGGTGGCTAGCTTTCTGGTGAAGGAGAGCCGTGCCCGCAGTGGGCAGAGAGCTCGCCCAGGGACACTGGGTCAGGCCTAGTCAGGGTTTCCTGCAGAGCCGCATTCTGCCTGGGACGACCAGCCTGTGTCCCTCCTGCTGCCGAGGGCTGGCTGTGGGATGGGCACGGGGCTGCGGCGTGTCCTGCTCGGGAGCTTGGGGCTGAGAGGCAGCCACTGCAGGATGCTCAGCCCACGCCCCCTTCCTCCCCAGGAGGCTGGCCAAGTCCACCCTGCTGCTCATCCCGCTCTTTGGCATCCACTACGTGGTATTTGCGGTGTATCCCACGGGCATCTCCTTTCGATATCAGATCCTGTTTGAGCTCTGCGGCGGCTCCTTCCAGGTACGCAGGGAGGGCGGGGCCCAGCCCGCGGTGGCGGCCTCTGATGGTCCTGTCCGTTGCAGGGCCTGGTGGTGGCCTTTCTCTACTGCTTCCTCAACAGCGAGGTAAGTCCTCAGACCCGCTGGAGCCAAGGACAGACACGACCCGTGGGGACAGGAGGCCATGGCTCCTGTGTGGCCCCCCCAGCTCCCACCCTGCACTTACCGGCCCGTCCTTGTCCGTCTGCCCGAGGGCCCAGCTGGGCATGCTCCCCTGGGTGGTGTGGAGGGCCCTGCCTCTGTGTGGTCACAGCTCTGCTCACGCCGGACCTCTCTGGGCCTCAGGATAGAGCTGTGAGACCCCGAACCCCCTGCTCACGGCTCACAGCTCCCTGGCCTCCAGCATTCTCTGGGCCCCTATGTGAGGCCCTCACTGCCCGCCCCAGACCCGTTAGCGTGTGCATCTCTATGTCTGTCCACCGGCCTGTCCGCCCACCTGGACCCCCGCCCATCTGGGGACAGGGAGGGCAGAGGGCCCTGAGCCGCATCTCTGGGACACCCATGTCCTGGCCACCCCAGGTGCAGAGCGAGCTGAAGAGGAGATGGCGCAGCACATGTCCGGGGCGGCTGTCTGGCCGGGACTACCGGCTGCATGGCTCGTCCATGTCCCGGAACGGCTCCGAGAGTGCCCTGCAGAGCCACCGGGGCTCCCGCACGCTGTCCTTCTTGCAGACAGAGACCTCAGTCATCTAGTGCCCACGCCGTCGGGGTCTGGGCACACCTGCCCGGCTGATGAGGGACCCCGCCCCCCCCGGGGCTGTGGCCGCCGCAGGCTGGCTCCGCTCTCCCCACCTCACGCATCTCCCGTCTCACATGGTGGCCCTGGAGTGTGGCCAGCGGACCGGCGGGGCCAGCAGCCGCAAAGGAAAGCCGCTTCCTGATCTGGGTGCCCCCTTGCGGGGAGCGAAGGCCATGCGTGACCAGGGAGAGACCACTCCCTGCGTGGCCCCCAGGACACCACCTCCACCAACCCCTGCTGCGTCCCTGCGGCCTCACCCCTCATCAGCGCCGCCCCCAGAGGACCCCTGGCCAGGGAGGGTGCGGCAGGCCCACGGGGACCCATCTTCCTTGTGAAAATATCCTGCAAGTCATTGTTTCAATGGAAAACTTTTAACAAAATATGAAACGCGCCCAGCACCCCTGTCCACGCCGGACAGTCCAGCTTCTGGTCCTTTCATCTGACTCCTGGGGAAGCAGGTCGGGGCCGAGTCCCTGCAGGTGCCAGGGGACTCCCAGGAGGTGAGCACCTGCAGGGTGTCCCGTCTAGTGGTACCTGGCCTAGGGTCCCCCAGACCCACCCCCGCCCAGCCCCCACAGACCCACCCCCGACCTGGGGCCCCCCAGACGCACCCTGGGATCCCCCAGACCCACCCCCGCCCAGCCCCTGCAGACCCACCCCCCACCTGGGGCCCCCCAGACGCACCCTGGGATCCCCCAGACCCACCACCACCTGGGGACCTCCTGGGGCACAGATCTTTTTAGGGTTTGGTGTCCCTCAATACAGCGGTAACCCCCCTTGGGGATGCTGGGGTGGCCGGCGGGAGTCGGGGTTCAATGCCCCTCAGCACGTGGAATCTAAGTCTAATAAACTCCTGCTCAGCCAAGATGCTTCGCTTCGCAAGGAGGGTCAGAATCAAATGCTGAAAATCAGACTCTCAGAGGCTGAGTCTGGAGAACGGCCCCTGTGAACTCAGGGGGCGCGTGGGGGTGGGGGTGGGGCAGCCCCCCGAGGTGGTGCGGGCGCGTGGGGCGGCGACGGGCACCTGGGTCCCTCTGGCGTGTGACGTCCACTTGTCAGGGAGGCAGCGCTCAAGGCCTTTGTTTTCCGGTCACAGGCGCGGGGGCCTCAGAGACCCTGGCAGAGACGGCCAGGAGTGCCCCGGCCAGCCCTGCCCTGGCCGCGTGGTGGCCCCAGCGTCTCCTGTGGCCTGGAGCCTCCCCCCCCACGCCCCCTGCTGCGTGGAAAGGTGGGGCCATGTGCAGAGGCTGGCAGCGTCTCTGCTCCGTTCCTAACAGCTGCGCGACAGCCCTGCCCGCAGCCAGCTGGGCCCCTTCCCTCTGCAGGTGTCGGGCTGTTCTGGGCGCCGACCTGAGCCCCCCTGGGTTCTGGGTGCCAGGCTCACAGCAGACTGACAGGGCGGGTCTGCACCCTCTGCCCTTCCCTCAGCCCCGTCTGCCTCCAGTTCTGCCTCCCGCTGAGCCCCAGACACCCCAACCCCGCTCCCCCCAAGAGTGTCACCATGAACCCTCTCGCCCCGGCAAATGAGGACAGGCTGGTGGAGGCCTCAGGTGGCGGTGCTCAGGGCCCCGGCGCTGTGGGGATCTAGGGTGTCCTTTGTACAGGACAGTGTTGTCTGGGAGATGGAAAGAGGCGCTCGCTTCCTGCACCCCGCTGAAGGCCTCACAGGAGGTGGGTGGCGGGGGGTCTCTGAGGCACCCCTCCCCGCCGGGGCTCACCAAAGTGGGCGGCCGCCCCGACTCCCTGCCCGGCCGCCCCAGCAGGCCGCAGAGCCTGCAAGCTCCCTGCGGGGCAGGGGCAGCTGTGGCAGAAGTGTGTCCTGGGCCCTGGCTCACTGGCCATCGGCCAGGAGGCTGGTCTGCAAACATGGGACTGTTCCGGCGCAACGACAGGACACAGTTCTTCCCCGAGCTTGGTTTGTCACGCAGCAGGGAGTGGGCAGATCTGTGGACCCCCCCGGCCTCAGCAGGACCCCGAGCAGATCCCTGGAGCCGCCTGGCTGCACCGTTGCACAAGTGGGATCACCGCCACGCCACGCCGGCTGGGCATGGGGACACCCCTCTCGCTCTTCCCTGCACAAAAGCCACATGTTTCTAAGTGGCCTTTGATATCAAAAGCGAGGCCTCCCCATCCCCGCCTACCTTCCCTGGCCGTCCCCGCAGCAGGGCCATCGCTCGCCGCCATCTGCTGAGTGTAAACCTCGTTAAACTGCTCGAGAGCGTCATCGAGACTTAATTACGTTTTTCTTGGGAAATGAGGTCCCCGATGTCCACGGGCAGGTGCTGCCAACACGATGCCATCTCTGACGCGCTGGAGTGGCTGACTGAGCAGTAGAAAAATGTTGGATGTGACCGAGCTCTGCGGAATGGCCCCCGTGGGGCCGGCTAACCGCAGGTCTGCTCCTCATACCGGCCACACTGTGGCCAGCACTGCCATGCGGCTCCAGCTGCCGCCCTGGTGTGGACGGTCTCTGGGTAGGTAAAGGCCAGGCTTCGGTTTAGGGCACGTGGGACCCCCAGAGCCGCCTTAGGGAGTAGGAGGGGACTCCCCAGGTGTGGCAGAAGTCACAGGGGAGCTGAGAGCCTGTCTGTGTCTGCCCAGAGCTGCCGGGTGCCCACTTCAGTGTCCCCTGAACAAACCCACCTTCTTTTGGGGGCTGAGACTGGGCTCCATTGCTCTCCAGCTCTCCCGTGAGACCCAGTTAAAACCGCTCCAAGTCTGCCTTTCACAGGGAAGCACTGGCAGGTATGAGCAGGCGTCACTGCCAGCCACGCTGACCTGGAGCCTGTGTCTTTCCGAGGGCCAGGAAACACCTGAGGCTCGCAGAGTTCCGGGGCGCCTGCGGGGTGACCCCCACCCAGACCCTCTGCTCTGAGCGGGCAGATGAACACCAGGACCTACAGGGCCCAGCACAAAGCCCGCTGGCCACTGGGTGCCCTCCCAGAGGACAGCCGTGATGGTTTGGGGGATGACACAGCAACTCGGGGGACACTGGCCCATGCCAGCCCATCCCTTTCATTTTTGCTGCTTCCGGCGCTGGCTCCTTGAGAAGGGCCCATCAGGGGCTCCCTCCAGGTTGTCTGAAATGAATCTCAGCGGCTTCAGCACCCCTCAGGGCCAGAGCTGTGCTGGTCAGAGGGCAGTCAAATATGGGTCCGGGGGCTGGACCCCTTCCCTACCCACCCACTACCCAGGCCCCGCCCCACCCTGGGCCCAGCCCCTGGCCCAGGACCCGCAGGCTGACGCCCTGTTTGCCAGGCGGCTCCCTCGCGCACACCCCCCGACCCCTCTGGCCCAACTCCAAGCTTGACCTCCGCGCCGCCCCTCCTGGCGCTGCATGCAGCGTCCATCCCCTGAGCGCCCGCGCCTGGCCACTTTCCGCCGGCTCTGTCCTCCCACTCCCGCTGGCGCCCCGGGGCTGTTTGGATGCGGGTGCAGGGGACGCCACGCCCCGAGCCGTAACCAGGACAGGTCTGATGGGAGGAAGACAAGTCCGGGTCCAGCCCCGCTCATCCGCACCGGGCTCAGAGTGGGAGCAAGGCATCTGGCACCTCAGGCCCAGTGGGGGCCCCTGAACCGTGGCCACCCGGGGCTTCTCCCGTGTCTGTGGCCTGAGAGGAGGCCCCTCAGGGCATCCGGCCACCCCAGGGGGGCCTGTGTCCGGGGGCCTGTGTCCGGGGGCCTGGGGCCAGGCATCGGGCCTGTGTTCCAGGAGGCGCAAGGTGCTGAGAGGCATCCCCTCCGGCCTGCGAGCCCACTCTGTGCACCCCCGGCCAGAGCCCTGGCTGGCCGGCGTCAGGGGCCGGCTCAGGGAGCGGCCCGGGTGCGTTCAGTGCCGCTTGGGGGGCATTTCTCCTTTCACGCCTTCTCCTGGTGCGGGAACGAGGGTCCGGCAAGACACTCACTCGAGGCTTCCACCAGAATTCAGGTCAGCCTCTCAGAGCAACAGGCTTGAACTAAAGGCCCCTCTGTTACCTGATGCCCAGCGGCCCGTTGGCACAGGCAGGCGGCGTGGCCGAGGGCAGGGCTGCCCCAGGGTGAGGTGGACACCGCCAGGCCCAAGTACGGGATCCCGGGTGCGCGCATGCGCTTCTGCCGCGTTCCTCGGTGACAGAGCCAACGCCGCGGGGACACAGCGGAGCCCTGGTGGCACATGGGGACGAGAGTCACAGCCCGTCCCTAGTGCCGTCTGGGCCGCCAGGAGCGAAGGCCGCGCTGGGTGATCCCGGGGCCGCGCTGTCAGACGCCCTGCCCGGGGCCAATAGCTGCAGAAGAGATGCGAGTCTCGAGGGACAAGGCCCGACGGAGGGCTGACCACACCTTCCCGGCCAGTTATTTAAATCTGGTAATAAATAGGGCCATGTTTTAAAGTCCGAAATAAGGAGAAATGTTCCAGAAGATGCAGGACACGCAGAGATGTTTGCGTCCATCCAAAAATAGTCATTTATTGAAGTGGCTTTGTTGTAAAACGTTATATACAGAACACGGGCCGGCCCACCAGCGCCGGCACCTCCTACAGTGCCTCCCGCAGCACTCGCTGCAGCTGCTGCTGCTCGTCCCCCACCGGCACTGCCCACTGCCTCTTCAGGTACTGGACGTCCACGCTGCCGGAGGCTCTGGCCAGCACCAGGGCCAGGAAACTGCCCCCGGCCCTGTCGGGCTCTCCCAGGACGGCCATGGCCACCAGCCTGCGGGGAGTAAGCACACGGGGTGGGCGGCCCAGTCTGGGAGCGGGGGGGGGGGTCAGGGTGCGAGAGTGGGGTGGGGGGGCAGGGAGGGGTGATGGGGGAGGGTGGCCCCGTCTTGGGGGGTGATGGGTGGGAATACTGGGCCGGCAGTGAGTGCGCCACCAGAGGCCGGTGTGGGGCTCATCTCTGTGGTCAGGGGCCTGCTGGGCAGAGGACCGCGAGGTCGTTCCCACTGAGGGTGCCTGCGGGGCTCCAGCCAGCCCCCCCCCTTGGTCCTCACCCCACCCTGGGCGAAGGGCAGCGAGGTGCCCATGTGTGGGTCCTTCACGCCCCCATGGTCCTCTGCTCAGGCCCAGCCTGACTCCCGCTCAGACACCCGAGCAGCTACTGCCCCTCACCCAGATGCCACGTCTCCGGGCCTGTGGGGTGGGAGGTGGGGGGGGATGCGCGCCCCATGCTGCCCCGCGCTCTCCAGGCTGCCCAGGGCCTGAACACACCTGGAGGCGGTTTCCCCTTGTTTGTGGCCCTGCCCCCATGTCCACTGACCTGTCTGGAGAGACGGGCTGCTTGGCCACGGGGCCCAGGTCACTTGCCAGGAGGTCCCAAACGTAAATGCAGGACGCGTCATCCTGCACCAGGAACACGGCCGGCCGCGTGCGGGACCAGTGCAGGCCAGTGACGGCGCGGCCACCCGTGCTGCCATCCCACTGCAGGAGCGGGCGCTGGGCGGCCAGCCGGTGCAGGCGGACGCTCCCGTCGGAACAGCCGGCCTGGGGCCAGAGCACAGCCACGGTCACTCGGCTCCAGCAGCCGCGCCACAGACGCACGTTTTTGTAACGTCGTCTGTGACCTACACACACCCCTCGCAGCGTGTGCGCAGCAGGGAGCTGCCCCCCGACAGGCTGCCCTCCCCACTCACGCCTCCACCAGCCCGCGGCTCCCACTCGAGCACGTCGCCTCTCAGACTGGCCGCTGGCCGCACGCTGGCCACCGGCTGGCATCCAGGCTGATGGAGGCCCCATCCGAGACAGCCCCACGAATGGCGCTGACACAGTATCGTCCTCCCAGTGGGGCGGGGAACGTGTCAAGATGACCCAGCAGAGGGTGGTCCAGGCAAGTGCCGTCCAGGCAAGCGCCTCCAGCGTGGGGCGACCCCTAACGGTCACTGTGCCATTCAGCCGTGCGTAAAGTCCAGTCTCCCGCCTTCTCTCCTCCCTTACAGCAGCCCACCCAGACTGACCTGGGGGTCCTCAGGCCCCCACCCGGGGCACACTGTCCACTCTCGAGGGGACCCACATGCCGCCCCGTGTCCCTCCCCTAAACAAAACCAGGCAGGCTTGAAGGCAGCAGCAGCTTCCACACCCGCAGGCCGGGAGAGCGTGCGGGGCCGGGCTGACCTGCGCTGGGAGGAGTGGCCTCTGGGCTGCAGCCCGCCTGGCCCGCACAGGGCGGCACCCTCTGCCACGGCCCAGCATTGCCCACAGAGGCAGCTCAGCACCAGACCCTCAGCGACTCTCCTTCTGGCTATGCGGGGGTCACTGACGGGCATGGACGTCTGTCCACCCAAGTGGAACGCTGCTCGGGGTCACCCAGCGGCCACATCGCCAGCGGCTGTTCAGTCCGTTGCCACATCCTGTTCCTCCCTCATGGACCCGAGAGACCTGGGCAAAGACCAGCCCCTAGGGGACCCCACAGTCCCTGCCAGACGCCCCCGGAGCAGGGAACACCTTCACCCCGACCGGCACTTGGGCGCAGACGTACCAGGAACACCGGCTCTCCGAAGGGAGAGAAGTCGATGGCGTTGACCCTCACTGGCCGCGCGCCTGGCTGCCGGGGCTTGAACAGCCGGGGGGACGCGCCCACGTCCTGCCGGGTGCCATGGCCGACGAGGCCCTGCAGCGAGGCAGGCAGGGTCTGCGTCACCCGAGGGCTGACCGCCATGCACCGGGCACACCAGGAGAAACCCAAAGCCAGACTGACCACGTCGGTGCCGACGACGAAGTGGTTGGGGTCGGAGGGCGAGAACTTGACGGTCAGCGTCTGCATGGTTCCCCAGGACTCCAGGGCCCCGCGGCAGAGGCTGGAAGAGCAGCAGCGTGAGGCTACGGGGGCAGCGGCGGCGAATCTCCACTCTGCCTGGTTCCCACCTCGGTCCTGAGGTCGCTTCCACTCCGCACCACCCCCGTGCCACGGCAATGATGGCCGGGCCTGCAGCCTGGGTGACCCCCCGGGCTCCCTCAGGGACCTGAGCCCCCAAGTGGAGGCCCCTTGCGGCCCGACCCGCAGCCTCTGGCTCCCCAGCCCCGGCCCCCAACGGCAGTGGGACCTCGAGTCCCCAGCCCCCGGGTGGCACCGGAACAGGTCCCGCCTGGGCAGGGGCCAATGTGTGCCCGCGGCCTCCGCTCCGGCTCCTGCCCAGGCGGGCGGGGCCCCTAAGGCCAGGCTGACCGCCCAGCCCCCCCCACACAGCCCGGAGCCGCCTGCACTTCCAAGCTGAGCCCTGGCGTCTGGGGTTTCCTCTCTGCAGAAGGCCACGCTTCACGGCTGTGGGCATTTCCCTGGCGCCGAGTATGTCTGTGACCAGGAGCCTGCGGCCAAGCACAGCGACGGCGCCCCGCGGTCCACCATGACAGGGTGCTCGAGGGTCCCTGGCCTCCGCTGTGCCCCCCCACCACAGTGCCACGAGGCCAGGCAGGCCTTGGGGCGGCTGACCTGTCACTCAGCTGGATTGCGGCGCTGTGGACGAGTTTGATCCTCCCTCCAGGGATCAGACCTGCAGACAGAGACCAGGCCCTGAGCACACCAGGCGCAGCGGCTCTGGGGCCGAAAGCTGGTCGCTGGGGCCACCCTGGTCAGGGCGCTGCAGGCGGGGGGGAGGAGCAGGGGGGGCGGCAGGGAGCTCCTAGTGTCCAGGTCTGGTGAGCTGAGGGCCCACGTGGAGTGGCCTCCCCGCCTGCGACCTCGGCTGGGGCTGCCCCGGGGCCATGGCTCCCACCGGCCAACTCACTGGTCTCCCTCTTTGGCCTGACCCTGCACGTGGGGACCGGCCACAGGGCACCGAGGCCCAGACCTGCCAGGTGCTGCCTGGGCCGCAGCTGCCACCGAACCAGAGGCATGGGGGGCTCTGCGTGGGCAGGGGAGAGCAGGCGAGACACAGCCACCCAGGCCGCACCGTGAGTCCAGCAGAGCCGCCCCCCCTCCCCCCGCCACCACGCCGTGCCAGGCCCGCAGTGTTCCCAGGATCCTTGTGCAGAGGGTTCAGCAGCAAGAGGCAGTTCATTCTAACTGGACCCCTCACGGCCCAGGCAGGGCCGAGGCCATGGCCTCTAGGGGTCTCGGCCCAATGCCAGCACCCGACTCTGCGGGCTCAGGTGCGGGTCACTGCCACCCTGTTTCCTGCTGGCCCCACCCAGGGGCCCGCCCAGGGCACAGCTCAGCGGGGGCCAGTCCCCGGGGCAGGTGGCTGCAGCGAGCGGGAAACCAAGCCCAGTAGGACCCAGGGCCCGCTTAGGACCCGACACCACACCGGACAGCGAGCAGCCACATCTACTCCGGCAAGGCTCGGGCAGCCGACGCGCCTCAGGACCTGCGACCAGGCTGACCCCACAGCGACGGGCTCGAGGCCAGCACGGCGCACAGGAGGCCCCGGGGTGCCCCCAGGACACCCTATGCCACCTGCAGGACAGAGGGTCGCCCAGACAGCGGCCAGCCCAGGCTCAGCTGGACACAGGGCCCATGGGGACCGCATGGCCTCCCCTTGGCCCCCAGACAACCTGCTCTTCAAGGCCGCCGCTAGGCCTGTGGCCTCTGTTCACTTTAGAAAACAAGGATTAAATTAGTTTTTCTCTGTAACAGTTACCTAAGTCGCTTGTCGACCCCGCGGCGTCTGCCCTGGGCAATTCAACCACCACCTGGAAACAGGACACGAGCATGGCCGCTCACTAGCACCCAGCACTGGCCCCGGGGAAAGGCCAGCACGGTGGCTTCAGAATGACCTGACACACCTGGGGCCCGGCGCCTGCACCTCGGTGCCGCACCCTCCCAGGCCACGACCCGTGTCCACCCAGCACCGGGGCACCCGGCGAGCCCCACTCACCCACACGTTGAGGACACCGCTTTCGTCCAGGGATGCAACATGGAAGGACAAGCCTGACATCTCTGAGGAGAACAAGAAGGCCGGGCTGCACGGAGCCGCGCGGGGCCGCCGGGGCGCTGGGAGGGGGGTGCTCACCTTCTCGCGGGGAAAAGGGAGAGAGGACGAAACTCTGCTTTTTGTAGACGGACGTGGACACAGGTTCGATGGCCTGCAGGGGACTTCGGTGGTTCACGGGTGTCAGGACGCCATCTGGGGTTCAAGCACAGGCCTCACCGTCAGCAGCGAGCCAGGCACAGGGACAGACGGACAGACAGCTCCCCACCACCCCACACCCGCACCACAGCATGGGACCCCCAGCCGTGGTTCCCCTTCAGGTGTGCGACCCTCTGAGCCGTGGGGCTGCTTTCACACGACTGCAAACAGCAGCCACGGACCCCCGACCGGAAGGAGAGAAGCAAGAGCTGGGGCTTCGAGTCTGAGGGAGGGGTCAGGGCTCCCCACTGAGAGGGAGCCTCAGGGTTGAGGCTGCCCAGACGCCCCCTCTGGTGGGGACTCTGCTTCGAGCACAGGCCCGGGCCGCGCCGGCTGGAAGTGCACAGGAGGGGGCTCAGCCAAGAGGGGACTGCACAGGCAGCATGCCCTCCCCAGATGCCATCCACACGACTGGACACAGGAGAGGCCCAGGGCCACAGGGCAACGTGGGAAGAGGACGTGCAAACCGAAGACCCACTGTGTGAAAATCTCCCCCGAAACAAGAAGGAAGCTGACCGGCGTCCGCGCCCGGCTGCTCGCCCGTGAAGGCGTTCAGGTGCATTTCAAGACAACAAACAACGAAAAACACCCACATCAGAAACCCAGACCAGAGAGACAGAAAGACCCGGCAAGGAATGGGAGTCGGCGCCAAATCTGGAAAGAAATAAGGGAAGGCGCGTGTCCCGGGGCAGACGTGGTGGGCAGGCGTGGGGGGAGACCTTCCCATGGGGCCAGGAGGTGTCGGGCAGGTCAGGGCCAGGCGCAGCGGCTGCAAGGGCAGATTCCGGCAGCACCCCAGGCTTGTCCACCCCAGCAGCAGGGGCGTCGCCCCCCAAAGGGTGGGGCTCAGTGAGGGAGGGAGGAGGGGCCGCTCTCCCCGTGGGGCCGCGAGGAGGGGCATAGGGCAGGTACAGTGGACACGTGCTGGTGGAGCGGGCAGAGGGCCTGGGCCACTGGAGCAGCCTCTGGGGGCCGGGCTCTGGGCCCCACGGCCCACGCGGCAGGATGCCCGGGACAAAGCCAAGGCCTGGCACTGGGTCTGCTCGTGGAGGCCCACGTGGCGCACGCAGAAGAGAGGCGGCCGCACCCCAGGCTGTGAACACCCCAGCGCCACCCACACGCCGGCTGGGGCTGCAGCTGGGCCCGGCACCTGCATGCCCCGCAAGGCTGAACGTGCCTGGGCGGTCGCCGGTCCTGACCACAGGGGCTGCAGACTGTCCACTCGGTCCTGCCCATCAGGGTCCCTGAACGGCTTTTCTGTTTGCCTCAAGTACAGGTGCCTGCCGCAGAGTGGGCCCCCAGGGCTGCTCGGGCGGCTGCAGGGTCAAACCTCCGCAAGACCAGGAGTGGACCAGCCAGGCTGGCCCTGTTCCTGTCTCTGTGCGCACGAGACCCTGTGCCCACTGCGCCTTCCCGGTCCCGCAGCACCACCCCCAGCTCCGGCCAGGCCCCAGACCCAGGCGCTCACCCCTCCCGAGACATGTCCGCGTACAGGCATGCGTGTGCTCACACGTGTGCTGGTGTGTGTGCTGGTGTGTGTGAGCGTGCATGTGTGTGTGTGTGTATGTGTGCATGAGTGTGGGGGTGCACTCGTGTGCGTGCGTGCTTGGGCATTTGCACTCATGTGTGTGCCCATGCACTAGTGTATGTATGTGGACGGCAGAGACATGGGGAGACGCAGAGCGGGGCTCGCGTCGCTGCGGAAACAGCAGAAGGCAAAGCGGTGGAGCCCGTGGGGGACAGCAGCCAGGTGGGCTGTGAAGAGGGTGACCACACTGAGACACGTCCTCGCTCGTCAAGCTGCCAGACTCGAGGGATGTTGGCCGTGGTACAGGACTAAGCCCGGGAGAGCGGGGCTGGCGGGGGCTTCTCAAGGACCCTGGGGGTGAGTGGCAGGATGCCCACCTGCCGAGGTCAGTCACCCACAGCATGGCCATGCTTGGAACTCGGACCACAGACACCCAGGAGTCCTCGTGGCCCATGGGAAAGGACTCGGGCCAATGCGGGCAGGCAGGGCTGGCCGTCGGGCCTGAGGGCAGCCAGCTCCTCGCGCCTGAGCCCTGCCAGCTTCCCAAAGCCCCAGGGCCCTCAAGGACACACCAGCTGCCCGCATCCCTGACCCCACACATGTGTGGAGCCCACAACACACGTCCCCCTGCAACTCCGGGGACAAGGGCAGCAAATGGACGCCATGGCTGCTCACATGCCAGACGGCGCAGGGCACTGACCGGTGGAGAACGTGGCCGTCCGCAGGGTCCAGAAGCCATCGTCCAGCCGCAAGAAGCGGTGCAGCCGTGCGTCCTCCCTGAGGTCCCACACGAGCACTGAGCCATGCTCCGTGCCCGCGAACAGCAGGAAGGCCGTGGAGGGGCTGACGCAACAGCAGGTCACCTGAGGGACACGCAGCTGGAGGAGCCAGGCCACTGCCCTGTGCCCCCCGTGGAGCTCGACCTCCCCAGGCCTGGCAGCCTCCCACCGCTTCAAGCCCCACAGACGCTGTCACGATCACTGTCCTCACAGCTCCCCACCCAAAAGCACTGGACCAAGAAGGACCAGATGCACATCAAACCCAGCGAGACCCAGCCCTGGCCCACGCAGAGGTGGCCCCGACTGCGCCAGCTGTACCTGCGACTCACACACGAGGACCTTCTGGGGTGCAGACGGCTGCCAGACGTCCCACACGCACAGCAGGCACCGGCTGTCCAGCGGCTGTGCGGGCGTGCCAGGGGCCGGGCCATGCACGGACACCACCGTCTGCCGCTGGACGGGAGAGGCGTGCAGGCAGCGCACGGCCCGACCTGCAGGGAGGAGAATGGTCCAGTGGGCAGGGAGCCAGGAGGGTCAGGCGCTCGCACCCCAGCTCCCCCAGGGCCTGGCCCACCACGGCCAGCCGTCTGCCCGCAGCAGAGCACACTGGCCTCGGGCCACTGCAGGACAGGGCAGCCCACGGCGACTCCCCAGCAGTGCCAGACCCCGACCTGCGTCGGACCTGGGGGGCGCAGCCTGCACAGGCCTGGGACGCGTAGGGACCAGGCAGTGAGGCCCCGGAGCAAGCCTGGCACATGCGTCCCCATAGCATGGCGCCAATGGCCCCCCACTGGGGCACCACCTCCACGCAGCCCTGGCCGCAGGGTCGCGCTGTGCCGCCTCCAGCCTGGCCTCCACCCACAGCCCCCTGAGGCCCCCATAGAGGCAGGTGGGCGGGAGCCGCCCAGGCCCAGCTCCTCTGACCCCTGCCCGCTGCCGAGCCCCTCCAGGAGGCCAAGGACTCGAGCAGGCGCGCGGCGGGCAGGGGGATGCCCTGGCTCCCGGAGACCCCGCGAGGTGGGGAAGGCGGCCTCACCCTGCAGGAAGGGCAGGCTGGTGTTCAGCGCCGAGGAGCTGTCGCTGAGGGGCAGCGTGTGGGCCCCTGGGCTCCAGTCGGGCTCTCCGGCCACGGCCATGCGGTCCTCCTCCAGCAGCACTGCCACCACCTGGGGGCAGGACAGCAGCAGCCTGAGTGTCCAGCCCCCACTGTGCCCCCAGCGGACGGCCCCCGCCAGGCTGACTCCGGCAGGGGAGGCCGTGGCTCACTCAGACCCAGAGACGTCCAGAGAGATGCGGCGTCAACGGTGAAGAGCCCTGACGGCCTCTCCTGCGAGGGCACGGAAGGCGGACATGGGGGGAGGCCCTGGGGGCCTCGCGCAGGGACGGGGACCCCCTACCAGCGCGACCCCTTGGGCAGCCTGCCTGTACTCGTGGGGAAAGGCCAGTGTCCTGGAGCCGCCCGAGACACTGGTGGGTCAAGGCGGCCGGGGCGGGCTGGGGCAGCTGGGGCGGGCACCTGGCAGGCCGCTCGCAGGAAGGCCGCCAGCCGGGGCGTGTCGATCTTGGGGGCAGCCGTGGCGTCCAGCGCATCTCCACTCTCGCCACCTGGAAATGCACGGGCGTCAGACCTGCCAGCGATGCAGCGTCTGGTCCACGGCGAAAAGCGGCGCCACGGGACAGCGGGCAGGAGCCTGCAGGGCAGCCATCGGGCGCCAGCTGGGACCGAGGCTCTCCGGGGCGGGCACCCGAGGAGGGGGAGCGGCAGCCGGGCCAGCGCAGGCCCGCATTAGCGGAGCACAGACATAGGCTCAGGCTCGGTCCTTAGCAAATTCTGGGCGTCTCCGTCCCCGCACCGGGGAGAGCCGAGCCCGGCTGCCTACCCCCACACACGGCGGCGCCTTCCCCGGGGTGCTGCGTCCACACCGACCGGGTCTCCACCTCCTCGGTCTGGGCGTCTCTCTCCACGCTGTCCTCGTTACACTGGACGTAGGCCTGGGATGGAGCCGCGGGGTCAGCCGCTGCCCCTCACCGAAAGGCCAGGCCGCTCAGCGAGGGCAGCGTCTGGCTCGGCGAGTGCCGGGTCAGGCCGCGGCTGCAGCACAGTCAGGACCGCACCTCCGGGGCACCAGCCTCGTCCCAAAGGTGTTTCCAGCCACATCAAGACAGTTTGCACAAAGGCCCCCAGGTCACTGGGGTCCGCCCTCAAGTCTTTATTTGCCAGTTCTGCCTCCGGCGAGGCTTGAGGTGGATGGGGGGGGGGGGCAGGGCCTGGGCCCCAGGGCCGACTGCAACTAGGGTCCCGGCGCCTCACTCGCCCGCCTGGCCCGCCCTCTGCGCCTGCTGCTTCCCCTCATCCTAAGGTTTTATCTATTCGGCTCTTCTTGGGCCACCCCCGACCTCTGGCCTCTTCCTCTGGAGGGCAGCGCACTGGACGTGCCAGGAAGGCAGCTTCACACAGGGCCGGGTCAGTGGGACAGGAGGGGGGTGCTAGCTGCAGGCGTCACCCCAGAAATATGCGGGGGCTGGGGACAGCACACAGGGCTCAGGGCCGCAGTGGCCATGGGGGGGTGGGCGGGGAGGGTGGGCTCCAGGAGGAAGGGGCGAGAGGCAGATCCACGCTGCCCAGGGGAACCCTGCGTGAGGACAGGCAGGAGGGCGGCTGGGCCTCCCAGGAGCCCCAACTGTGCCCAGGGACCCCGCCGGCCAGCCCCGAAGCCCTGCCCGGCCTCCCCGCACCCGCTCAGGGGCTTTGAAGCGCCTGCGCTGACCTGCTTGGTGTTCTTCCTCCCGAAGTTCCTGATGTACATGTCATACTCGCTCACGGGCGGCAGGTCCAGGAGGGCGAGAGTGAAGGAGAAGTCCAAGTCGACCAGCCGGAGCAGCTTTGTGCTGCGCGTCCTTGAAAGAGGGGCGTGACGGGCGTGACTCGGAGCCCAGAGCGAAGCCGGCGGCGCCTGTGGGGTCTGAAGCCGCGGGTGCGCTAGGGCGAAGCACTCCACTCTCACCGCCCCGCGAGTGAGTGGGGCCCCAGGGGCGTCCCGGACCAGCCGCACGTGGCACCCGCCAGCTGCAGAGCACAGCTTGGCTGAAGCTGCAGGCCTGGCGGGCTCACCCCAACCCCTCCGGGGCCCTCCGACGGCCCTCGAGGCCTCCTGCCTGGCCGCAGACACGTGTGTGGGGGCCGGTACCAGGCCTGGGCGTGCTGCCTGCCGCCGGCCCCTGGCCCCAAATCGCCGCCAAGTCCACAGTGGGGACAGGTCAGGCAGAAGGGCAAGCATGGCTGACCTGGAGCCTGACCGCCCTGCCTCAGCAGCTGGCCGCCCTGCCCCACCCCTCGCAGGCCCTTCGCTGCCCTGTTCCCTTCTCCTCGGGCCACCAGGGGCCACCTGCCCGCCCCACCGGTCAGCAGCCGCGCAGGGCGGCCAGAGCACAGGCTGCTTCTGGGGGTGGGGGCGTCCGGCTCAGGGCCCACGGCCGGCACCTACTTTTGCTTGAGGGCCTGAGTCCGGCTCTTCTGACGATGCGAGGCGGTGGCAAAATCCACAAAAATCCCACAAGCAGGAGCTCTGGAGGGGGAACTGTCTGCGCCTGTGCCGGAACGTGGGCCAGTTTTAGAAACGGGCGTCTGCTCAGCACAGAGAGCAGAGCCAGGCGAAGACAAGCGGAACCTGAGAAAGGTTCCGGACAAGCCTCCCCAGGGCGTTTCAGACCAACTCGGGCAACCGCCAGGCCAAGTCTCGCGGTGACGCCACCACACCTGCAAGTGACACCGGGGAGGTGAGTCCCACACTCCCCCCGCCCCCAAAAATGCTTGGTGAGGGGCTTGCGGCAGGGGCGGCCGGCCAGGAGCGCCCACGGCGGGCGGGCGGGGGTCGGAGCCCAGCCACACAGCTGGCGGTGGTGAAGGTCACGGACCCGAGTCCAGTGACGGGCTCTGTCACCCATCCTCCCAGGGCAGCTCGGGCTCTGCGGGGCTCACCCCTGCGTCTGACTCCCGCCAGCTGAGCTGGCTCTGCAGGGCCTGCGTGGGGGCCGCACCCCTTCTCGGCACAGCGCTACCACCCAGGACTGCTGTGCTCGGCTCTTTTAACAGAAGAGCCGCTGGCTCAGTCGCTGCCGTGATCTGGGCGTCTGGGCTCTCCCCCAGGAGTCGCCACACCAGCAGGCACCCAGTCCGCACCATCTGAGGCCCCCACCCAGGACTCGGAGACTCGAGGGGCTGTTTGTGGAAAGTGCCGGCCAGCTGCCAAGCACTCCATGCACAGCGAGAGACGACTGCTCAGCGCCGTTCCAGGTTAAAAGTGAGAACAGCCACCGGATCCAAAGTCGCAGGAGGAGGCCCAGGGAGGACCTGAGGGTGCCCCGTGCTCGGTAAGCCTCGCCAAGGACCACGGGGCCCGCTGCCGCAGGGGTGCCCCGGAGAACTCAGCACCTGGACAAGCTGCTCATCAAAGCTGCGTGTACCTACAGCCAGAAGGCGAGCACACACGCTGGCTGGGCAGCGGACACGGACCAGCCACGCTCTCCACGGGAGGGCCCAGGAGCACTCCCAGCAGCGCAGGGAGGGGTTAAACAGCACCAGAAGCCAGCATTTCCCGTGTGGCCGACCCTTTCAGCGCTTACACACGTCATACGCACACGTGTTTCTCCACCAGCCCCAGCCACCTGGGGAACAGCTCCGGCAGGTGTGACAGGCGAGGGCACAGAGCCCAGAGGCTCAGGGGGCCGAAGCGACGCTGGCCAGTCACTGCGTCTCTCAGGCGCAACTGTCACAGCTGCCGCAGGAGAGCTGGGCACACACTCGCCTCCCTCCGCGGGACCAGGGCCACCAGAGTGACCGTCCCTCCAGCAAGACAGGGCCCTGAGGGGCTGTACATCTGGCCTTGAAAATCAGGCGAACCGAGTGATGAAGAGATAAACGGGAACTTTGGGGACAAAACCTGCTCACTTCTCAGCAGCCCCCAACAAGCAAGCCAAGGAGGCCCCGTGGACACGGCCCAGTGCCGGCCTCCATGGGGGAATCACGGTCTAGGGCTGAGCTCGGCATGACAGGCCAGGGCGGCGTGGCCGGCTGGCCCCGGGGCAGCCCCTCCCGGCCTCTGCCCTGCAACCTTCAGCAGCAGGACACTGTCTTGCAGCCACCGTCAGGATTCTTACAGTATATTAACCACTGGCCATGAGTACTAGTTACTAAGTAACAAGGTGCTTTATCACCCAATGACTTTTTATGTTCCCTGGAAACAATTTTAAAATAGCCCCTGCTGAGCCCGACCTCGCAAGGAGCCGCGGTGGGGCCTGGGGCCCTGCGGCGCCTCACAGAAGGCTCTGGACTCGGTGCCACCCTTGCGGGGACTCGGCTGCAGGCCAGACTGCACGGGGGCAGGCAGGCAGGCTGGCGCGTGGGCTGGGCTGGGCTGGGCCGGGCCCGCCCACCTGCCTGCCCACGCCACTCACCTGCCCTGGCCCCCCCACCTACTACCCAGGGCTGCCCACCTACCTGCCCCCGGCTCCCACTCACGCTCTGCTGGACCTTGCTTCCCCAGCAGCCTGGAAGACAACTCGCCGATCCTCTCGTTCTCTGCGTTAATAGCTTTCTGGATTTCTTGAATCTCCTTTTTTCTGGCCGGGGGAAGGTCCTCAGTGTCCTCTTTGAGCTCCGGCTCATTAGCACCGTCGTCGTCCTCCCCATCACAGACCTCAAAGTCATCTTCATAATCCTACAAACCACGCGGGTGGGGCTTTCAGAAGCGCTACACACGCGAACTGCGGCGTGGGGCGAGACCCACCGCAGCCGGGATGGCTGGAGGCTCCCTGCGCATCGAGCTGAGCGCCGGCCGCGTCTCTCTCCAAGCCTTAGCCGGCCACTCAGCACTCTGCACACTGAAAGCTGCTGGCAGCGGTGTGCACACACCTGTGAGCCGAGCGTGTAAAGTGTAATGTGCATAAACCGTGGACTGTACACATGCAGGCACAGAAGACAGGTTTACAGGTTGCATTGTAGGGTGTGGATCGCATCACATCACAAGCAGAAATACGCCCCTTTCTGGGTAACAGACCTAAACCAGCTATGGATTATCAAGGGTAAGAAAAGAGAAAAAAACAAACTAAAGGATTTTAAGAACAAGTTTTTCAGTAATTTTTTACTTTATACATACTTCAAAATCATCCTCGAAGCTTGCTATGCATTCCTCAGCCTCCGCCCTCTCTGCCTCGGTGCCCTCCTTTTCGATTTCCTGCAGGGAAAGTCAGACGCGTAACCAGAAAATTCAATCATAAATTTGAATCCTGCAAACAGGCTGGGAAAATGTGTTTTCATTTGCTGGGTTAATTTAAAAATATAAGAATTTTATAAAACTAAAATATTAACCTAAATGATTTAAGGAATGCAAACTTGCAAGTAAGACCGAACAGCAGGAAGCTAGCAAGCAGTTTCCGAGGCGCCTCTGTAACTGTCATCCCACCCCTTGGCGGCCTGCGTGGGGTCTCACTGGACCACGCCCGCCTGCAGGGCTGGCGCAGGGACCCTCCAAGTCCTGCCTGAGGCGCTGGGTCCTGATCTCTGGAGCTGCCCAAAGGCCATGGCCTGGGTCTTAAAGGCCAGCAGGTGTGACCAGGCCCCCCACCACATGGGTGCCAGGCTACCCGTCATCCGACCGGCCGCCAGCAAGGGGCTGGCCCCCCTTCTCTGCAGCGCCGGCCCGAGGAGGCAATGGCCACCCACAGGAGCTCCAGCGTCATCCTGTCGCTTCCTGCCCAGTCCCCTCAATTCCTCCCCACCTTTCTGGACGCAGAGCAGAGTGGTGGGGTACAGCCAGGCCCACCCAGCTACCCTCCCACGGAGGAGGCCTGACCCTGCTGTGAGCCCAGACGAGCCGCTGGCCCAGAGGCCCTGCCGCAGGGATTCTGCAGGGAGCGCTGGCCCGGCCCCGTGGAGGGGCCACGGAAGGCCCTGGCCACTGCAGTCGCCCACATGGCTGTCCTGCTTGAGGGCTCCTCTCTCCCGCTCCAGATCTGCCCCTTTGTCCCGCCACTGCTGTCAGCACGGCGCTGCCCTTCCCCAGAGCTGGGCACTGCCACCCTGCCGCTGCGGGCTTGCTCGGAGTTGCTCTGCCTCAGGAGGAAGCTCACCGGCAGGTGCTGCCCCACCCCCCACATGCTGCAAGGCCAGGCGGCCATGAGCCACCACCCGAGGATGCCCCGTGCCAGCTTCCCAGGTCCCCAAAGGGCTTCCCCAGCACCTGCTGGGGCCTCTGCCTCCCCGCGCAGTGACCTGCGGTGACAGAGGCAGCACCGAGGGCTCACCTTCCCCCTGGGGTCTCGGTCTTTCCCGTCACTGCTGGCCGAGCCCTCCGCGTGCCTGGAAAGCACAAGATCGGGGTCAAACTCCGCTTCCGTTGTTGAGTCTTCATTCAACTTTGCGGCTGGGCACAGGCGCTCCCCAATATTTGGGCGTAAGAACTGCTGAGCCTGGCAACATCCAAAGCCCCCTGGGAGGCGCGGACACCAGCCCATTTCAGCAGTGACCCAGTGACCCAGGCCCCTGTCTTCAGCAGAAAGACAGAGCATTGGCCTCTGTACCCACGCAGACCTGCACCCCTCCACGAGCCCCACAAGCCCCCGGCGTTACCAGCCAAAATGTCATGGTGGACATGTTTGTGCTTCCAAAAGAAAGCTGTCTTGCGGCACGGTCTTTTTAAGCCAGGCTTTATATGTAAGGTGGGAGCTATAATTAAGGCTTTGGAATTGCACGTTCACTCCTTCCTGTGAGAACCTAAGTGCGGGTTAAAGCAGGCAGAGGAGGAAGACGCCCCCAGGCCTGTGGCAGAGGCCAGGCGCCCGGCCCTGGTGTAAGCCTTTCAGGAGCTTGTTAAGGATTTGAGGAAGGCAAGTGCTGGGTTCTCCTCATCCGCATGAGACTTGCCCAGCGTGCTGTCACGGAGACCCCACCGAGCGCCCACAGACAATGGGGGCTGACTCGTGGCCCCGTCGTGTCCTCCCTGAGCCCCACAACGCTGACATTGGGGTTCAACAGCACAGCTGGCACCCCCAGGCGAACCCCATCTGCACTGCAGCCACCCCAGAGTGCCCACCTCCTGTCGGGGGGTGGGGGCAGGGGTGCCGCGGCACGTCGCTGCTTGGCGGAGGTGAGTGGGCAGGACACACTTCGCCCGGGCCCGGCCCTGCAGGGCGTCCCTCACAGCCTGGCAAGTGGCTGCCGCTGTGGGGCTGGGGTCATGCCTGGCGTGAGCAGCAGGGTCGAGGCTCAGGCTCACGTGCAGACCCCCAAGGCCTGCGGGGAGGCCCCACCCATCTCGGGCAGCCCCATGAAGCCGGGCAAAGACATGCACTTCTTACTGGCCGCCAGTCCCGTCTCGCTTCGAGCTTGTACCCCGATTTCTGTGTTCACCATTCTAGCAACAAAAAGACCCAAAACCATTCATTAGTGCGACGTCGTGAGTCAGCACCCTCTGCAAATGCACGCCACCTCTCCCCAGAGCACCCACACGTGGGGTGTGAGCTAAGTGTTGCGAACTCGAGCCAGACGCCGGACCGTGAGCTCAGGCGCATGCTCCATGCACCACTTAACCTCAGAGCACCTAAGCGGGGCCTCCCTGGAGCCTGGTGGTAGAGTCTCAGGCTGTCACTGCTGTGGCCTGAGTTCGATCCCAGCCAGGGAGCTGCCCACAGGGCACAGCAGACCCCTCCTGTCTCCCCACTGCTCCCCTCAGCAGTGTGTTTCAGTGGATCCACCTTTTCTGCTCCCCACTCTGTGGGAAATCCTCTCACCCCCCACATCTCTGGCCTGTACCCCAGCTCTTGTATGCATAAATAAGTACATCTCTTTAAAAATTTTTTAAATGAATGAATAAACATGAGGGTGGCACAGATCCATGAGCCCACAGGAAAGCGACTCTTCCCTCAATTAAGTCAATTTTTTTAAATACAGCTAGGCGGTTAGACTATACATCACTGCATGTGGGTCGGTGGCTTACATGGGAGGCCAGGAGCAGCCCTGCCAACAGCACAGCGAGAGGGTAGCCTGCGGCTGGAGGAAACGCTCAGCCTGGGGCCACCCAGCATACCGGGCAGGACCACACAGGGCCCAGGCGCCACATGTGACCAACCCAAGCGCAGGCCACTCCCTGTGTCCAGGCCCAAAGAAGCTGAAAATGGGTCCTGGCTCAAGTTGGCAGCACAGGAAGACCCTGAGCGCCCGTGGTCCGGGGAGGCCTAGGGACGAGAACCACATGCCCAGAAGACGTGAGAGCGGCACGGGGCAGCAGGGAGACAGAGCTGTGCCAGGAGCAGCCCCAGAGGTCTGCACGCCGCCCCACCAGGCCTCCAGCCCTGCCCTCAGGCCGCAACCTCCTCAGCTGAGCCACCACCCACCCAGGGAGGCCGCAGGCAGACGCACACGCACACACACACACAAGTAACACATGCACATGTGTAGAGACGCACGCACATGTATGCAGAGACACATGCAGACACGCATGCACACGTGGACACAGAAAGACACGCATGTACGCACCCAGGCACGCACACATGCAGGTGCACGCATCCGTACATTGCACACACATATTCACGCACAGACGCACATGCGTGCTCGCAGAGGACGAGCTCTCGGGACCAGCTCTGGCTGAGGGGCCTCCACCTCGCCCTCAGGTCAGGCCCCGGCCCAGGAGACCGCCCACCTGAAAAGGGGCCCACGGGAAGCCGCAGAGCATGGACACCACGCCCCAGCACAGCAGGTGCGTGGGGGCCGAGAGGGGCCGGGGACCAGGGAGAGGGCGCCAAGCGCCAACGACCTGGAGGAAACGGGCTTTGCCATCAGCAGTTTTCAGCGTTCTGTGTTTGAAAACTACCGATTCTGTCTGAAACACAGTGCTGAGCCTTCCACCTCAACAACAGCCGCGTCATCCCTAACGCTAAGTTGCCAGATCTTAGCACAGATTTCGGACACATGCCCATGGAACGCACAGCTTGAGGGGAAGACGGGCTGCTCCAGGCGCAGCCCCCCCAGGGACCCACCCCGGGCACAGCACCCCAGGGGCCCACCTCAGCGCAGCCCTGCCCACGCCGCCTCAGAGCCATACCGTGGCCTCCCTCTTCCTGTGCTCCTCCTTCCGAGGCTTCTCCCTCCTCTCCCCGCCGCGGCGTGGCTCCTCCTCGGGCCGGAGGCTGTCCCGGTGCCGCCTGTCCCGGTGCCGCTCGTCGCCCTCCTTGTCGGAGAAGGAGCCGCTCTGCTCCCAGGAGTGCCTGTCGCGCCTCTCCCTCGCGCTGCTCTTGTCCCGGTGCCTCCTCTCTCGGTCGGGCTCTCGGTGCCGGTGATGCCTGCGCTCGCCTTCCTCCTTGTACAGCCAGTACTTGAGGGGGTTGTCTCTGCTGTCCCCGTACTGCAGCTGGGGGCCAGGGGGTAAGCCACAGCCCCACGCAGCAGCCGCCCGGCCCCCACCACCAAGTGAGCCTGCGGGGCAACGTGGCCCAGCTGGGTGGCAGGTCCTCTGTCCCCCGCTGGGCTGGGGCTGCATCAACCCGTCTCTGGGGCGCCCATGCCACCGCCCCTCCTGCCCACGCTCAGCCGGCCACGGCCGCCTGCATCCCGCCCCCGTGGGGACCCCGGGCCCACCCCCGCAGCTGCGGCAGTCCCCCCACCCCACCCCGCCGCCCCTCTCGCCAGGAGGGCCCGGAGCCCAGCACTCCCGGATGCGCACGCCCTCCCACACACCTTCCGCTCCCGGTACCGCCTTGCTCGCTCTTCATCCCTCTCGGGCTCCTGGTCTCTTCTCTCCTTCTCTTCGATCCTCACTTTCGCTGCTGGAGAAAGGAAACACCTCAGCGTCCCCAACCCTCGGCGCTCTCCCCACGCTGCCCTTACCCAGCCGGGGAGAGCAGGCGTCCAGCCGGGGAGAGCAGGCGTCCAGCCTGAAGACACCCTCCATCAGGACCCCGCAACCCAGGCTTCGGGCCTGAGGGGCTGTCCAGGGAGGCCCAGCATCACTGCCACACCCTGCTCCAGTTGCCCACCTGTGGGCCTCAGCCCCAGAACCCCGGGCCCAGCTGCAAGGGGCAGGGCCAGGCCTCCCAGTCCGGCACCCCGGCTCCTGCACCCTCTGGGGTTGGCAAGGCCCTGCCATGAGGAAACCGCCAGGGCCTGCCCCTTAGAGCCCCCAATGCCGAGCCCCACACCCCACTCCTTGGAGACCCACACCGTATGGGGACACCCCGGCACCAGGCACCAACGAAACGCTGGGCCTCCGCTCTGGGTGCACACAGAAAAAGTCACTGGGCCTAAAATGAAGAGAACGGACATTTCAGAGTTGATCCCAAAGAACAAATTCAGACACCAGACCCAAGCACTGCTCCGGGAGCCTGGGCGCAGCAGGCCACATGCGGCGCTGGGCGCAGCTGCAGACAGGGGCCAGGGAGGCACGCACCTCCCCAGAGCTGAGGCCCACGTGGGGGTGACCAGCCCTGCAGGGGAGGGGCGCAGCCAGCGGCTGAGGCGGGTCGGCAGCACCATGGCATAGCGTGTAGTGCACCATGTCATCAGACAGCAAAGCACCAGAGGACACGAAACCCAGAATTCAGGCTGAGGGTCGGGGGAGACCAGAGAAACGGCGTCGAAAACCACACAACTGGGGTGGCCGCGAGGGCGAGGAGGCTGGAGGACACAAGGAACAGGGCAGGGCCAGGAGCTGCGGAGGGGCAGGCACAGGTCCACGGCCGGGACACGCCTCTGCCCAACAGGAGTACAGAGTTCTCAGGAATGAAAGGTGGGAGGAAGAGGCAGCGGGCGGTGACCACGGCACTGTGACGCGTAGCCGCGGCCCATCACCCCGCAATCCTACCCCGGGACACAGCGGCCCCAGGAGGCCCCGCGAAACCCACCTGGGGTCACCCCCACCCCTCCTCCGCCTGTCTCCTGCGCCTCCCTTTCTGGTGACACTGGCTAGTTTGAAGTTTTTGTAAGCATCACGCACTATCTGGCCAATAAAAAATGTGAAGAACCCTCCACGGGGGAAGGGGGAATATGCGCCGTTTCCTTGCAAATCCCAGGAATGAAGGTGAATAGCATTAAAATGCTGCTTAAAGAAAACATCCGTCTGAGCAGCGCTGGAGCAATTCTTGCACGAGCATCGTGCTGACCTGCAGCGAGGGTCGAGACCAACTGATGCCGCGAGTCTGAGCCGGCCTCAGGGTGAGACCCCCGCGACCAGAGAGGACCCGCCCGGCCAGGCCAGGCCGCACTCACCTGACCCCAGAGGGCGCCCAGCGCCCAGGGCCATCCCCAAGAGGCCGCTGGGACCCGTGGCCCTGGGGGGGGACAGGGACGGGTGCAGGGGAGGGTGGGGCGCGGGGGGCGCACCTGCAGGGGCGCGGTGCTCGGGCGGGCGGCCGGGCGTGTGGTGGGGCCGCGGCTCCTCCTTCCTGGGCCTGCGCTCGCGCTCCTTCCCGCGGCTCTGCGCCTTGTCCGCTTCCGCCTCGCGGGCCTTGTCCCTGGTCCTCTCCCTGTCCCGCTCCCTGCCGTCCTTCCTCCTCTCCTTGGGCTTGTCTCTGTCTCTGTCCCCACGGAGGTGCTCGCGGGAGGGCTGGCCAGCCCGCTCCACCGTCCTGTCGCGGGGCGCGGGGTCCCGCGAGGGGTCCCGGGCCCGCTCCCTGCCGTCGGGAACGTCGGGCTCTGCCTCCCTGCGCAGCTTCTTCTCCCGGGGCTTCTTCTCGTCCCTGGCGGCCCCTGCCAGTGCGCCCTGCAGGGGAGGAAGGGGCCCGGCTGGCTGTCCCGCCCCACATTGCCCTCCTCGCGCCCAGGTCCTGGCAGCGCGTGCCACCAGCCTACAGCCGGGACCCACAGAGTGGGGTCACCTCTGTGCTGGCCACTGGGCCGCGTGCCAAGTCCCCCAGCAGGCCAGGCAAGCCCGGAGCAGCACTGGGTGCAGAAGACAAAGGAAGCCAGGGCAGCCTCTGAAAGCTGAGACACTGGTCCCACTGAGAGAGCAGGCGCGTTATGGAACCCCAAGGGGGTCGCCATCTCAGCCCCAAGTCCCTCTTCATACAGACATCCCCCAAGCACCCACAGGGGCAGACACACCTGCAGGGGCAGACACACAGAACCTGAATCTGAACTCGATAGAAACGGACAGAGCCAGAGGGCCAGGCTGGGGGCCACCATCCCCCCCAGCTCCTAACCAAAGTGTCCAACCCAGCCGCTGGGAGCCAGCTGGGGGCTAAGGGGGAAGGCTGCAGGGACCGTCCTCCCCGAGCAGCCCCGCCACACACATGACAGTTGTCACCCACCACCAGGTGCCTCCTGAGCTCGTCTGCTTTCCAGGTGTCATCTCTGGTCCTTCTCTGAAAGGAAATCATAGAGTCAGCACCTTGGGCGTGGACGGTGCTCGGAGCTGACGGCCAGGGCCTCTGCTCCTGGACAGCCCATGGCATCTCCGCTCCCGGGTAGCCCTGGAGTGGCCCACAGGGCTGCTGCATCTGGAGCAAAGGGGGAGCATGGCTGTGCACAGCCTGGCACCTCTGCTGCCCACTGCAGCCTGGAGCGGTGGAGTGGACCCACAGCCCCCGCCGGCCGGCCAGCACCCACAGGTGCCTCAGGGGTCTCCACCACCACGATGCCCAGCAGACCCTCTGGACTCTCGCCACGCCCCAGCAGACACTGGGCAGCAGGACCCTTTGCATCCACAGTGGACGCCAGCCTGACCAGCGGCTCACTAAGCCAACCAGCCGGAGGCGGCTGCAATTTTACAAAACTAGTAATTTTACCTTGTCTTGCAAAGGAAAAGAATCACATTTCCCTTTGACAGCACTGCATTAAGGGCATAAAAAACATTTTGCTTTGTTTGAAATGTAAAGAGAAGGTAGTGCAAAAAAACCCAAAACCTTATTCATGAATAAACAACCAAATTGAAATTTGGGCAAACAGAAAAAAAAAACCTACTAGCTCATAGATAGACTAACTAGAAACAAACCAAAGCAAGTGTAAGACCTCACCAGGGCACGCTCCCCACACAAGGCCCACCGCCTCCAGGGAAACACCATCCTGTTGAGAAACTGTTTAATTAAATAAATCAGGTCCATAGTAAAATGGCTTAAGATGAATGATTATGGGGGCTCCCCGGTGGCGCGGAGGGTTGAATGCAGTGCTGTGAAGCTGTCCGCAGCCTCTGCAGTGTGGGTTCCATTCCCGGCCGGCCAGGGAGATTCCCACATGGCGTGGCAGACCTCTCCTGTCTCCCCGCTGCTCCCCTCAGCAGTGCTTTCGGTCCATCTGCCCGTTCTGCTCCCCACTCTGTCCTGGTGAATCCTCTCACCCTCCCGCGCCTCTGGCCTGTACCCCAGCTCTTTTTTTTCCTAATTTTTTTTTAAGATTTATTTATTTACTTATACATGCACTGGGTACAGTCAGAAGCACGAGAGGGTGAGAGAATTCACCAGAGCCAGAGCGGGGAGCAGAGCAGGCAGAAGGACCGAAGTACACGGCTGAGGGGAGCAGTGGGCGCTGCAGGAGGGGTCTGCGCGCCATGTGGGACCCTCGCGGGGGGGCTGGGGTTCGAACCGGAGCTGCAGAGGCTGCGGGCAGCTTCACAGCCCAGTGCTCAACCACTGCACCACCAGGGGAGGCCCTCTTTCCTTTTTTTTTTTTTTTTTAAAAGATTTATTTATTTTATACAAGAACTGGGGTACAGACCAGATATGCGGGAGGGTGAGAGGATTCACCAGAGACAGAGCAGGGAACAGAACAGGCAGACTGACAAAATACACTGCTGAGGGGAGCAGTGGGCAAGGCAGGAGAGGTCTGCGGCACCATGTGGGTCCCTCGCCGGCCGGCCGGGATTGAACCTGCGCTGCAGAGGCTGCGGGCAGCTTCGCAGCCCAGTGCTCAACTGCTGTGCCACCAGGGGAGGCCCATACCCCAGCTCTTGTATGAAAATAAATAAATCTTTAAAAAAAAAGAAAAAAAAAAATGGATGATTATTTAAAAATATGTAAATCAAAAAAAAGTTAGGGTTGTTAAAACGTGTAGATTCTGGGCCTCCCTGACGGTGTAAGGGAGGCCTGTACCGCAGCTCTTATATGCATAAATAAATAAATAAATCTTTAAAAAAAAAAAACTGGCAAATTTGAACTTTAAAGGGTTTTTTCCCCACAGTGTCCAGGCTGTAGGCAGCGGCAGCAGCTCGGCTCTGTCCCGCATGTTCATTCTCGAGGCAAACTCGGAGGCAAGAAAATAAAGTCTCACTCTTGGGGTGACGCTGGGGTCTCCAGGCAGCCCTGTCCTGCTGCCCTATTTTGAGGAAAGCAGCTTCCCAGACAATGATGTGACATCACATCCAACCGAACAGTCCAAGCAGCTCTCAACCTGCCTATGGGGCCGGAATCAGGTCATTCCGCTGGTCTCAGAAAGCCAGCCTGAGCCAGGACCTCCCGCAGGGCGCATCACTCAACGCAACCTGGGAGGCGCCCCACAGCCACTGCAACCCCAGAGAGGCCTCTGGAACAGAGGTATAAGAGGCTTCCATGCAGGTTGGGAGGGGGCAGGAGGCTTCACTGACAGCTGTCAATATTTTACATATTTTCACCCCAGAAGCTTCTTTGTCCTTTGGGCCATAATGGCCCAAGATGATTTCTTTGAGGTGCAGATGATGCTGGTTACCTGTTGAGGAGCGCAGAGCTGCAGGGGCGGCCAGCACAGTCACAGTACAAGCCCACCGGCAAGAGGGCTTGGTGGGGCGCTCCCTGGGTGTCTGGGCTCCCCAACAGGCTGCGGGTGGCAGAGATGCCTTCAAGTCCCGGCACCACCTCAGCTGAGCATTAGTGAGCAGTAACCAATGCACAGAGAGCCATGTTGCTTTGGTCTGCAGAAAAGGCTTGAAAACAATTGTCACTGCTCCTCAAACCTTACTAAGCCGCTCTCCCTCAGGACCGGCCTCTCCTCCCGGCTGCACGTGGCCCAGGACTGGGCTGGGGCCGGGGAGGTGCCTACTCAGAGGCCTGGTTCCATGTCAGGTCCTATGACAATCACGCCCACGTCCTAGGACACCTCAACATCCCCACAATCCCCCAAACCATCGTGGACACAAGAAAGCAGAGCTGCCTGCACACTGTGGCATCCAGTGTCTGCACAGGAATCTGCCTTCCTATCCAGTCCACGGCCACAGCCCCAGCCCAACTGGCCCTTGTGAGCCCACCTCCTGCCTGTCTGTGGCACCACCAGCTCACCCCAGACCATCTGTGTTGGTGCACCACGGGTGCTGTCCCAGCAAGAAGTCCCAGATTACAGGTCCAGACACGAGATAAGGCACACAGGAGCACAGGATGTGAAAGCCAGGAAAGATAATGTGAACACACTGCAAATTTCCTGAAGAGACCTCAACATCCCCACAACCCCCAAAACCATTGTGGACACAAGAGAGCAGAGCCGCCTGCACACTGTGGCATCCAGTGTCTGCACAGGAATCTGCCATGGAAGGCAAAGCCGGCCTGTCCATGCCCATAGCCACTAAGGAGCCGTGGGGATCTCACAAGTGCCCCGTGTGTGTCTCTGCAGGTGCCCTAGGAAGAGACTGGTCCTGCGTGGCTCATCTGGACCTAAAAGCCCCTCCTATCAAAATTATTCACATTCTCGATGTTGGCAACTCACTCATCCCACCTACATCAGCTAAATCCAAACGTGTGGCTGCTGGAACAGCTCTCACAGGGTGCATCAGCCTGTGAACGCTTCCCGGGCTCAAGTCCTCACTTTGACTCTCTAATAAACTCTTTGCCTGACTGTCAGAGATGGTCTTTCCAGTTAAGAACAGCCAGCAATTGCTGAGCGTTAATGACAATATTCTAAGCATTTCTCTAAACGCTTTTGTGAACAGGATTCATTAATCTTTGTAAACACCCTATAAAGTTGGGGTTGTAATTGTCCTAACTTTATGAACTAGGGGAAAAGACCGGTTAAGTAACTTTCCCAAAGTCATACAACACAATCCAGCCAGCGCCAAGCGCTGGAGAACGGGCTGCAGCCTCGGCCTCTGGCGCCTGGCACAGCGCCTCAAACGCACGCCCGTGGATTTAAATGAAAAGAGGTAAAGCTTAACTTCGGAGATATTTACTAGTCACAAAAGCCCTTTAAAAGTGTTTCTCAAGCGTACGGCTTTGGGGTCCAGAGCGCACGTTCTCCCTGGCTCCAGCCCGGCAGGGAGGGCCCCGGGGGCATCGCCAGCGGGGTCACCCGGTGGGGTCACCCGGGGGGTTCATCGCGGGGTCCCCAGGGGGCCACCCGGCGGCAGCAGCAGCGGGGTCACCCCGTGGGGTCGCCCGGGGGCAGCAGCAGCGGGGTCACCCGGCGGGGTCACCCGGGGGCGTCATCGCGGGGTCCCCAGGGGGCCGCCCGGCGGGGCCCCCCAGTGCTGAGGGAGCGGGCAGCGGGGACCGACCCCGCGTCCGCCCGGCCCGGCGCCGCGGCGGGCAGGTCCGGCGGGGTCCACGGCGCCCACGGAGCCCCGAGCCCGGCCGCGCGCAGCCCCTCGGCGCCGGCACCCACCTTCCCGGGCTCCATGGCCACTCGCCCGCGGCCCGCGGCGTCCCGCCTCCTAGCAACCGGCGGGCGCCGGCCGCCCAGCGCGGGAACCGCGGCCCGGCATGCCCCGCGGCGGCGCCTCTGGCCCGCCGGCCCGACTCCTAGCAACCGGCAGGCCCGAGCAGCAGACAGCCGAGCGGCGCCGGCCGTTTTGCCCCGCGGCTGCCCCAGCGCGCCTGCGCGCCTCCGACGCCTAGCAACCCGCAGGCCGGAGCAGCTGAGTGCCGAGCGACCGCTGGCCCGGAACTCCCGCCGCCGCAGGGAGGGGCGCGCGGGGTGCCGCCAGGTCCGCGATCGGTGGGGGCGGGGGGTCGCGGGCCGGCCTGGCGCGCGCGCCCGGGGCGCGGGGACACAGCTGGGCTGCGCCGCGGTCAGTCTCAGCCGAGAGCTGGGCAGCGTCCCCGAACACAGGGGCGCCCACGAGGAAACTGAGGCGGGCCTCCTGCGGGGCTCCTCGCCGGCGCCGCCCCGGCCTGCCCCTGCCCTGCCCGCGGGGCAGCGGCTTCTCGCCCCCGCTTAGGAGCCAGAACGTGAACCCCCAAAGCGGATTTAGAAATTGCAGCAGGCAGTGAAAAGAACTTCTCCTGAGCCTTTGGCACGACGGAGTCTTTCCCCAGATACCGACATCTCGGAAGCACGCGCTGCGAGAGGGTCGGGATCACAGTGTCTGTAGAGTGACTTTCACGGAAATGAGAACTGAGACATTAAGACAAGTACTCTGCGCTCAGGTTTATCCGGCTTCTTTTCTTTTTGGGGTAAAGATTTATTTATTTATGCATACAAGAACTGGGGTACAGGACAGAGATGCGGGGGGGGGTGAGAGGATTCATCAGAGACAGAGCGGGGAACAGAACAGGCAGAATATCTGAAATCCACCGCTGAGGGGAGCAGCGGGGAGACAGGAGAGGTCTGCCGCGCCTTGTGGGTATCTCCCTGGCCGGGGATTGGGGATTGCGTCCTAACCCCTGAGCCACCAGGGAGGCCCCTATCAGGCTTCTTTAATCTAGGCTGGATGCGGGTCCTCCCACATTACTGCAGCTCTCGGGGTGGGGCAGCATCCATGGGCATGTCACTCAGTCTGTGCCTTTGCTGTTTCTGTAGAAATACATTAATTTTTCAGATTTTTTAAATTCATCTATTTGGTGGTAGAATCAGTTTATAAATTTACGGATCCAGATACAAAGACCATTTCTTTAGCTCCTTGCCTTAAACTTAGCATCATTTCCTCTCATCAGCACTTAGGAAGAAGGGAAGGGGGGAGGGCAGTGCCTACTGTAGTTGTGATTTATTTAGTGGTTGTACCAAATAGGGCACCAGACGAAAACTTTCCACCTGATCATTCACTTCTCATAGTGCAGAGGAGGATCAGCACTTCTGGGCCCAGAGAAAAGGAAAAATATTGACTTGGGGGATGGGCTGCGAGCACCTGCAGGAATGTTGCGTCCACTGCTCCCCCCAGCAGTGTATTTCAGTCGCTGTTCCCCGCTCTGTCTCTGGTGAATCCTCTCACCCTCCTGTGTATCTGGCCTGTAACCAGTTCTTGTATAAATAAATAAAAATAAATTTAAAAAAAACACCAGAACCTGTTTCACAATATTAAGCACCAACTTTACACTTCTCCTGGCCTCTTTAGTCTCCTGGCACTCGTGGGATCACTGTGATGTCCACGTGCTGCTGTGCCACAAAGCCTAGCCTGTGGTAACTGATGCAGCCGAGGCATCTGTGCTGAGCTCATGGCCCTGGTGGGTGGCAGCACCGTGTCTATGGGCCGTTTGCCGCCGGCACCTCAGCTCACTCATCAGTGAAAATGGAATATCAGACGCCTACTGTGCAGTGACTGGGTTACCCAGCACATCAGGGTCTCCATGGCACCTCACACAAACCAAGGCCTTGACAGATGTTATTAATACTTTTATTATTGTCGTTTTCAGTCATTACCTGAACTCCAAGCATGGGGAAGATGAAATAGGCAAAATTACAGCCTCTCTTTATAAATGTAGAAATAATCTGCTACTATTTGAAGCCATAGTTGGGGCCCACGAGTGCCCCCCTCTTCTCTCAACCAATGAAGAGACTGGTAGGGAGTGACCTGAACGGCCCAAGGGTCCTGCCCCTGGTGTCCGAGCTCACGTGGGCAGACCCTGCAGTGATACGCCACGAGCAGGCAAGTTCTGCTTCCCTGGAAGATGGACAAACTTCCAGGGAAGAGGGACACCGTGGAAGGAGGTGAGGACGGCCCAGCTGTCAGCAAGCAGAAACTGGACAGAGGCAGGGAACTGAATTCTGCCTGCAGCCTGAATGAACGTGGGGCACTGTTCGGGTGCCTTCTCTAGGGGAGACCCCCGCTCATCAACACTCCAACGTTCCTTTGAGACCTGAGGAGAGAGCTGCACTCGTTATTGATAGAGTCGGGAATGGGGCTTGACATGTGGATGTCCCACCTCCTCCGGACTCCCCCAGGGCACAGGGCACCATCGGTCGGGGGCGCGGGGCCAGGAGTCCACGTCCATCAGAAGTCCCGGGCCAGGAGCCCACGACCATCAGGGCGCCCCCGGCCCCGGAGCCCGGCTCCATCAGGGGTCACGAGCCCGAGCCCACGCGCGGATGACGACCGCGGAGGATGGACTCGTCGCCCGGGGCCACAGGTCAGCTGGGGCGGCCCTCAACACCCAGTGGCGCTCGGCGGCCACCACGGAGCGCGGCCTCCGCCCCTCACCGCCGGGCGGGGCCTGGGGCGGCTGCGTCACCCCGCGCGACGGACGGTCCGCGCGTCAAACACCCGCGCCGGAGAACGCCCCGCGCGGTGACGTCACACGCCCGGGGGGGCCTCACCCGCTCCGGGGCGGGGGCGTCGCGCGCTGGCCCGCCGCCCGCTGGGCGTGGCGGCCCCCGCCCCCGCCCGCCCGACGCCCCCGGCCCCGCCCCCGCGGGGAGCGCGCCGCCGCCCCGCCCGCCGGCGCGCTGACGCCACACGCCGCCGACTGGCGGAAGCGCGGGCGGGCGGGCGCGTCGCGGCGGCCAGTCCCCTCAGAGGGGCGCTGGCGCGGGGCGAGCCGCCTCCCGGGACGGAGCGCTGGGCGGCGGGGCGATGAGCGGCGCCGGCGACCAGGGCCCCGAGGCCGGCGCCGCCCGGGCCGGGGGCGGCCCGGCGGCCGAGCCCGCCGGCCCCGCGCTGAGCGTGGACGTGCCGGGGCTGCTGGCGCAGCTGGCGCGCAGCTTCGCGCTGCTGCTGCCCGTGTACGCGCTCGGCTACCTGGGCCTGAGCTTCAGCTGGGTGCTGCTGGCGCTCGCGCTGCTCGTGTGGTGCCGCCGCAGCCGCGGCCTCAAGGCCACCCGCCTGTGCCGCGCGCTGGCGCTGCTGGAGGACGAGGAGCGCGCCGTGCGCCTGGGGGTGCGCGCCTGCGACCTGCCCGCCTGGGTGAGTGCGGGGCGCGGCCGGGGCGGGGCCCGGCTCCCGGCCGCCCGCCCGAGCCGGGCCCGGATCCCCGCTCCGGTCCCGACGCCGACCCCGGGCCGGACCCCGGACCCCGAGCCCGGACACCCGCCCTAGGACCAGACCCCGACCCCGAGCCCGGACACCCGCCCTAGGACCAGACCCCGACCCCGAGCCCGGACACCCGCCCTAGGACCAGACCCCGACCCCGCACCGGACCCGGAGCCCGGACACCCGCCCTAGGACCCGACCCCGAGCCTGGACATCTGCCCTAGGACCAGACCCCGACCCCGGACACCTCCCTAGATCCAGACCCCAATCCCCACCTCGGACCAGACCCCGACCCCCGACACCTGCCCCAGAACCAGACCCCGACCCCCGCCTCAGACCAGACCCGCAGGCTGCGCCCACCGGCCCGCCCTCCGCCCTGACCCCACCCCCCTCCTGCCCGCCAGGTCGGCCCCCCCAGCTCAGGGGGCCGTCAGCACAGCGCGTCTCCCTCCCCGCCCGCCCGCGTGGGCGCCCCCAACACACCCCGACATGGCCGGGCCACTCGGTCGCGCCCAGGTCTAGCCCCGCCGGCCCGCGCCTCGCCCTGGCTGACGGAGAGCCGCGGGGGGCGGGCTGGGTGGCTCCTGCTCCGGCGGCCCCGGGCGGGCGGCCCTCCCGAGGAGACGCGTCGTCTTTGGGCAGTTTCTGACGCCACCGTGGAGCCCGGGCCGTCCCCAAAGCTCTGTCGATACTGAGGTCACTAAACCTTCGGTTCGTTTTTATGCCAGCGGCGGGCGAGAGGGCAGCTTTGATGGGGAGCGAGCTGGGGCGGGGAGTTGAGGGACTAGGAAGACCCCCCCCCCCTTTGGTTTAAGCATTTTCGCCCCAGGCAGTTTTCTGCTTCATTTACTTATGGAGAAGCCACTTCGTTGGCCTGTCCTTTCTGCTCTCCCTAATTCTGAGTCAGGAGTTGGTGTCACCGTTTAAGACGACAGAAAAACGTGTGTATTTTCAGGAAAATGGTATTTACCTTAGGCTTAGTGGAAGGGGCGTGTGGCGGTCCCTGGGCTGGTGCGGTCGGTCGTGGGTGCCTGTGACTCACTGCAGTGAGACCCTCAGGGTTTTAAAATTCTGTTCCTTTGTGGGGGATGTGAGCCCAGTAATTTGAAGAATCAAACAAGGGTGTGGTCAGCTTTTAGCTACAAGCAGGAAACACAGGGGGAGGAAGTTATAGCCCAGGTGGGGCTTCCAGGATGAGCTCCCCTTTGGGGAGCCGGGAGGACTCTCCTGTCTTAGCTAGTATTTTGTTACATCCCATCAGATGATGCCAGAGGTAGCTAAAAACACAGTAGGCATGTCCCCAAAATAGGCATGTGCGGCTGGAAGTCTCAGGTGTCGGTGGTGCTGACTTGCATGGACCTTTGGCTGTAAGCAGGTGGTTAATACTGAATTTGTGCGCAAAGGTTCTTGTGACATAGTAAATTAACAATCTTGTTGCCATATTGAAGGACTAATTTTTTTTTTAAAGATTTATTTATTTATTTATACAAGCACTGGGTACAGTCAGAAGCGCGGGAGGGTGGGAGGATTCACCAGAGCCAGAGCGGGGAGCAGAGCAGGCAGAAGGACCGAAGGACACTGCTGAGGGGAGCAGCGGGTGGCAGGAGAGGTCTGCGCGCCATGTGGGACCCTCCTCCTGTGGCCGGGGAGCAGCCGGGGATGGAACCGGCGCTGCAGAGGCTGCGGGCAGCTTCGCAACCCAGCGCTCAACCGCTGCGCCACCGGGGAGGCCCAGGACTAATTTTTTTTAACAAAGTGTAATAAGCCAAAGAGTCTTCTCTTAGATTTTTCCTGTGACTTGCACTGATTTGAACCATGGTGTTCATCTCAGAGTAAGGAATTTGTTTTCTCCAAAATTTTTCACTTGTATATTCCAGGTTTTTATCCGCATCCACGTGCACACATGTTTAATCACGCCAGCGTTAACTTCGAAAACTTTCTGGGGGGATTCACATGAAACTTGCCAGTGGTCACGCTCAAGACAGGCACTAGGAGTCCAGAGTTTGAGGGAGGTTTTTTGGATATCCTTTTTAGTGTAACACCAGTATGGTATTTTCATAATAAACCCAGTGAATTTGTTACAGGGCAGGGAGAAGGGCAGCCCAAACCCTGCAAAATTGCCTATTCTAAATGGGTTCTGCCATCCACCGCATCCACACAAAACATATGAGACTTTAAGGGGAAGGAACTTTAATACAATTAGGAAACAATACAGGAAAGGCAAAGAGTCTAGTTTCTAAATGAAGCACCCAAAGTGACCCGTCCCCTCGTGGGTAGAACTCCATCCAAGTGGGATTGGCCCAGAGCAAGGCCCCAAAGCCTGCCAGAAGCCTAAAGCATCTTCCAGTGGGGACCCACAGAAAAGGGTCAGAAACAACCAGACAAGCCTGGAAGGAAAAGAACAAAATCAAAATCAAGATAAAAGCTGCCATTGTCGCCTCCCCACGTGTCTCTAGGCTCCATGTGCCTCCTCCGGGCCTCCTTCTGGCTCCATCCTGCTTCCTTCCTTCCTCAGTCTCCTCTGCAGCCTCTTCTCTCTCTCAGCTCCACCCTCCTTTTGGGTGGGGCAGGGAACCTGGAACCTCCCCCTTTCCTGGGGACCCCCCCTGTTACAAATTAACACTGCCCATGACTCTCTGCTCTTGCAGGGCCAGGTGAGCAGCAGAAGTCAGGCGTGAGACAAATATGGCTTCTATGTTAGTAGCACTTGGGGTTTTTGCTGTAGAAACTTGGCTTCCCGGGGTTCAGAACTTTGGGCTGGTATTTTGCAGTGAATGGGATACACATTATCACAGTGTGTCATTAACAGTGGTGATGGATCCCCAGAAGGGGGAAGAGAGGAAAACACGAATTAATGTGGGGCTCACTTCCAACCCCACTTCGGTGTGTTCACTGATAGTGTTTCTTTAATTTAGTAAAATAAGACTTCACGTTGGATACAGAAAATGAGATAGGAATATTAATACTTTGAGGGGAAAAAAAAGTATGCTGTTTCAAATGAAGACTATTGGCACATGAAAAATGACCCTCCTGGTGAGCTTCGGTTCTGCAGGTTTAATGCGGACGACGTTGCGGTTCATTCCTCCGGCCCCATCAGTAGGTGACGGCCCGGTAGGGTTGGGCTCGCTGGCCGGGACTGGCCCCGATGTGTGAGGTCTACCCTGCGTAAAGTTAGACTGTGGGTGAAGGCTAGTCTTGAAGAGTTGTTACAGAGATGAATGGGATGATTTTCCACTACTAGCTGTATTTGAAAAGTTAGAATTTGGTAATGTGAAGTCTGCCCGTTTGCGCTTCTTCTGCTGCCAGGACGTGCTGCGACGGTGGCCGAGAGGAAGAGACGCAGGCCTGTGGGAGCCGGCGGTGCTCATCCGTTCTGACCGCTGCTCTGTCGTGAGTCCTCGGGCTGGGATTCCAGCGGCCTCGCTCTGCTGTGCTGCACTGTTGTGTGCACGCTCTTCTTTGGGAAGAGCTTTCTGCTTCCAGTGGTCTTTGGGAGACTCGGGAGAATTTAGCGCTAACCAGAACCCAGTGTCTATAGACTAAGAGCCAGAGAAACAAAAGGTACACTCGCACCCAGGTGTTTGCCTTTTCCTTGGTGTCAGTCTTGGATTTACATCTTAATCATTTCTCTGAAGGCTTGTAACAGAAAACAGTCGTTGCAGGAAAATCAGGAGCCATAGTTTAGCTATTTTAAGCTGTGGCTGCAACCTTGCCACTTAGATCCTAGAGTGATTTCGTGTTGGATGAAATGGTGGCGTTCCTCATAGCTTGAAGGGGCTTTGGTACTGCATTGGGTCTCTGCGCTCACACCTGCCCTTGTGTTGCTCTATGTATGTGGTGAGTTGCTTTATTCAGTGAGCACTGACACCCCAGGATGGCTAGATATGAAGCAGCAGATGTCTGATTTTAGTTTTTTTTTATTCCTCCCTTCTTCCCTGATTTTTTTTTAAATAATTTTTTTATTGATCATTTGTATGTTTATGATCTTGATATTTTTTTTTTAAATATCTATTTATTTATACAAGCACTGGGTACAGTCAGAAGCATGGGAGGGTGAGAGAATTCACCAGAGCCAGAGCGGGGAGCAGAGCAGGCCCTTCTTCCCTGATTTTTAACTAAAAAATGGCCTTAAATGCAGGGTGTCTAGGTCCATCAGGTTTGTGTGCTCTGATTTTAGTAACAGCTCGTCCGGGTGGATATTCGCCTCACTTTAAACCTCAAGGTGGGAGAATATAGAACTCGGACTCAAAAGCAGATCATTCAAACACGAGTTGAAAATGTTGGTAATGTATTTATGTTAAATCATTAAATATATTTCCTCTGTTGTCATAAAAGCTGATCTCAATCCTCTGACGAGCTTTTTATGGAAAATGACAAGGTAGAGCCCTGTTGGGCCCAACGGGCCATGCCTCATTTGGGGCGGCTGTGGTTCTGTCTGCATTGCCGCCAGCAGTCAGCCGGGAATAATAGTGTCATGAGCTGAGCAAGCTAGAACCACTGCCTCACACGCTTCAGTGAGGGATATTAGAACATAGGCATTGAGTTTCTTTTAAAAATCAGTAAGTGGCAGAGATGAGCAGGTCCAGCATGAGGCAGGCTGCGCTGCTTTGTTCATGGGGTTCCAGCCAGAGGGGGTGCCGCTTTTTAAATGCGTGTTCTAACTTACATTTGCAGATATCCGCACTTTAAAGAGCATCGAAGGGGATGGGATTATGATATGAATAAAAAGCTAGGTAATATTTCCATTTAAGCCTAATTTTACTTCAAACACTGATACTATATACTATATAAACAAAATCTAATGGAATAGCAGTAGGAACAGTGCTTCAAAGATATAAACAGCCTGGTTTTCTCTGATATTCTGAACTCTTAACTTTGAATGGAGGTGTCCATCTGTAATAAGCATCTTTGAGAGGTTATTGTTTGGTTTGTTA